AGCGGCCAGGGACGAGGAAATGCAAGCGACCTCGCCGTGGCTCTCTGTCCAGAACTTCGATCGTTCAAGGCTTGTTTTGGCTTTAGGGCTTTAGGCTTTATTTAGGGCTTAGGTTTTAGGTTTGAGGGTTACGGCTTCAAGGTCTTAGGGCTTGCGGGTCGTGTCCGAGCTTTGTGCGGGGATGTCCGCAGGCTTGAACAAGTGTATGTGGGTCGCGCCAACACCGCAAAACACACTTCTACACAAAAGGAAGCGCTTACACCGACTGTATATGAAGCGAAAATGGCCTGTCTGTTACGACAAAACTCCACACGAATGGAACATGCTAGCAATCCAAAGCTTAAGCTGCGATCTATCCGCTCCCGCACAACACCGCAGGACCTGTAAACTGGCAGGGATCTGCCTTCTGGTTAGCCGTCCCTACTTAGCATCCCAATACCGAAAGTGCATGTTTAGGTGTTTTTGTTGCTCGTGATAGATGTTGACTCCGAAATCTCAGAGCTCTTTAGAGGACCCCACCCTCAACCCTTTAAGACACGCTTTAAAGGAATGCTTTAAGGACCCCCAAAAGAGCTGGGAAGCCGTAAAAAATAAACCCTTTAAAGATCTGTTAAAAGAATCCGAATCCCTAAGGCTCCATATACCCTTATAGGATATACTTAGGCCTTAAAGTGTCTAGATAGGGACCCCTTAGGGCTAAAGTATCTACTATATAGATACATGGAGCCTTTCGGAATCCTTTACAGCACCTCATGGGTTTAGGGTAAACCCCAAACCCTAAAACCTTAAAGCCACGTCACTGCGCAAAGCTCGGAGGGCCGCCGACCTTTCACTGAACACGTCGAGGCACCTTCAGCTGCTTGCCCTATCCCTAAGGCTCCATGTACCTTTATAGTAGATACGTAAGCCTTAAAGGGGTCCCTATCTAGGTACTTTAAAGCCTAAGTATGTACTATATGGGTACATGGAGCCTTAGGGTAAGGCTCCATGTACATGGGTTACGAGGGTTTTAGGGTTTAGGGTTTAGGGCCGAAAAGACCTACCTGTTTGGGGTTCCTTTCTATGGTTTCTATATACAGTTCCCTGAAAAGGTAGGTCTTTTGGCCTACAGGTAGGCTTCTGTACTTGTGTAGTAACTGTAGCATTCAACGTACCTACAGAGGAACCCGTCTCAAGCCTAATACTACTGGTATACGTGTACATGGAGCCTTAGGGCTGGAGAGTTCTATGGTTTAGGGTGTAAGGTTTTAGGGTTTGGTGTTTTAGGGTTTAGGGTTTTAGGGTTTACGGTTCTCTCTAAATCCTTACACCCGAAACCCCTCCCTCAGGGGAATACTGAATGGGCGAAGGGCTGATGATGTTCAATCTATCCGGCCCCGGCGGCAGGCTTTCCTTGGTTCTTGTTCAGGAATTTATCTAAGTTACCACAATCATCAGGGATCTACAGTAGATAAAATGATTTCCTTATTATGGTAGTTTACAGTAAATCCTTGAACAAGAACCCAGCTTTCGGTGATATCGGGCTGGGTGTTCAGCTCTTAGTTCATGATCTGAGTTTGTTTGATGCATGTGGGTCCCCACCAGGCCGAATGCTATCTATCCACGGCTACCCTCAGCTACCGTAACCGACTTTTGAGTAGGTTCCACTTATAAGCCCAAATGTGGAATGTATAGGGACACCGACTTTTGAGTAGGTTCTAACTGTAAACCCTAATATGGAATGTATAGGGACAGAATAGGGACCCTACAAAATGCAGGTTGTTTACGGTGCATGCTGAGGTTTAAGTCGGATTTTGGGTCTGGGGTTTAGCGTTTAGGTTTAAGGTGTATAAGAAGGCTGTGGCCCTGGCTAAAAGCCTTTACTTTAAGGCCGCGCCCCGGAACATAGGCCGTCATGTAAAGTAGCAGCACAAGAAGGCACCCGAAAAGGGCAACGATGTTCCCAATTCGGAATAAACCCTTAGCTTAAACCCCAGCCCTAATACTGTAATTCCCTATTTCGCACAGGGAGACATGGCAAGTCTCTGAAACTCCTCCAAACCTCCTTCGGGAAGCCTCCAGCAGAATACAAGAAAAGGTACGACCTGCTCCCTACAATCACATCGAAGCATCACCAACATATATACAGGCCCCCCCCCCCAAAGTTTCCGAGTACACCATGACATAGCCTGTTGGGGGTCGAAAGTCTCTAAAACTAGTAGCTACGTCGAGGTTCATGGGACTTAGAAACTAGGGTCATAATTAAGGTAACTACACTTATATGTACTGATATTCCCAATTAGCTTACTTACTAAGTCCCATGAACCTCCAAGTACACTCAGGGTAAACCCTAAACCCTATAGATCCGATATAGACCCCTTAGAGGAGCCCTAGGTGTCACTTTAAAGGAACCCTAAGGTATATTCCTAACACTCTACCATGGCCAAGGCGCATGCTCTCTCTGCCACTTCCGGCAAAAGCAATGCGGTCTTCTCCCGGGCAGTCGCAGTGCCAGCATCTACCTGCAGTTGTACTGGGTTTAGGGTTTAGGGGTTTGGGGTTTAGGGTTGGAGGATCTTGGGACTTTGTAAGTAGAGTTTTAAGTACACTAATTGGGGCTACAATCAATTATAAGTGTGGTTACGATCCCTTAAGTAGGCGTGTGCATATAAGCCAAAGCAGCCCAAAGCCATTTATAAAGGAAAATACCTCGAAATATTCTTCTGTGTTTGAAGCATATAGTCTCAAATCCCGGCACGCTTCTGCACACGTCACAACCCCTCATGCAAGCTGTGTAAACATACATAAGGGCTGAAGGCTTAAGAACTGTACACCGGACCACTGCAGGAAGACGGTCTTACAGCCCTCCGAGTGCAAATCTACACTCATCCTAACACGGAGTGTAAAAAGCTAATGCTGCAGGTTCAAAACCAAACCTCTAACCTCCGGGGATACCACACGCGATGCCCTCTCGTCCCTTTATGCCTAGGTTGGGGTCCATGCACCTTGGCATTATAAACTCAGGCTTCAACGGATTCCTTGCTAGGTACATTGGAAGACAAGAAGCTGGTATACTGTATGGGCTTTCAATCAAAAGAACAAACAAAAGCATTCAAAGCCAATCAGAGATCCTACAAAACCCGAATGCAACCCCTCAAATGAACCCTTCAAGGACCCTCAGGGGATAATGTTCTAAAGGGGATGTGAAGAAGGGTTGTCGGGGTATCATATAGTACTGACTCATATTCAGCCCTAAGGGTCCAAGTACCCAAATAGTAGGGTTTTAAAGACCAAAAACCATTCAGAGTATGGATTTCGGGACCTTGAACCCTACTATTTGGGTACTTGGACCCTCTGGGCAGGAGCCGTACGGAATAGTACGTATCAGTATTATTAGATTTTGAAATTATAAAGCCTGGTGTCGTTTCCAACAGTCATTATCCGAAATTTGGGTCCTGTGGAAAACAATAAGGAAGATGAAATGATCATCCCAAGTCGGTAGCTAGCATAGCAGCCCTAAACCCTAAACCCTAACCCCTCAACCCCCAAACCCTAACCCCTAAACCCTAAATCCCTAAACTCTAACCCCTGAACCCCTCAACCCTTAATTAACCCCTAAACCCTAACCCCTGAACCCTAACTCCTAAACCCTAAATCCCTAAACCCTAACCCCTCAACCCCCAAACCCTAACCCCTAAACCCTAAATCCCTAAACTCTAACCCCTGAACCCCTCAACCCTTAACCCCTAAACCCAACCCCCAAAACCCTAACCCCTAACCCCTAAATCCCTAAACCCTAAACCGTCCCTTTAAAGGAACCCTTATAGATCCCTTTAAAGGAACCCTAAACCCCTAAAACTCGGTGCTCAGTGAACGACTCGAGAAGGGGCCCAGCACGCGGAAGGCAGCATGGTCATGGCTCTAAGTCTTCAGCTAAGGCGGTTTCTTTAAAGGGGGACTATAAGGGTACTATAAGGGCTCCTTTAAAGGGGCTCTATGAGGGTCTAGGGTTTAGGGTTTAGGGTTTAGGGTTTTGGGGTTTAGGGTTTAGGGTTTAGGGGTTAGGGTTTAGGGTTTAGGGGTTAGGGTTTAGGGATTTAGGGTTTAGGGGTTAGGGTTTGGGGGTTGAGGGTTTAGGGTACCACACCCAGACTGTAGCCCATGAAGGGCCTTAGGGTTTAGGGTTTAGGGATTAGAGGTTAAGGGGTTCCGGGTTTCGGGGTTTAGGGGGTTAGGATGGTTCAGGGGTTTCGGGGGTCTCAGGGTTTAGGGTCGATAGTCGATAATATGGCTACAATTAAAAGGCAGTACCTATCTATATTCTAAACATTACGCAGCTGTTACTGAATGGGGGCAGTATCCAAAGCTAAGGCTTAAACGGTTTGGGTTGAGCGCTCACTTAAGGGTTCCTTTAATTCCCCTAAACCCTAAACCCTAAACCCTAGTTTAGAGGTGTTCTATAAGGTTGCGGGGTATCGTTTTTAGGTTCAAGGCCTAGGTTATTTTCAGGGTTCAAGGCCTAGGTTATTTTCAGGGTTCAAGGTTGCTAAAGGGGTGCAGGGGTTTAGTGTTCTTGGGTTCCGGGTTACAGATGCTTTAGCTGTTTTCGTTTGGGGAACCCGACTTCTGAAACTGCGTCATTGCCAGCTGCGGTCGACTTCCGAATGTACGGATCTACTGCACCGACTAAACCCTAAACCCTAAACCTCATGTACTTAAGGATTGAAGGCATTTAGGGTGTAGGTACGGGTTCATATCAGCTTGTGGCCCCAAACGTCACAAAATCATGTAGGAACCTGGTCAAGAAACCTTGGGCCTTTTTTAATGCTCCTTAAACGAATCCTACAATTTTTTTTTGGGGGTATAGGCAAAGGATATCTTATTCAGGTTCCTACATTAATATGTTATGACCCCTCAATTCTAGGATCTAACCCTTGAAACGGTGGGTTTTTGGATCCCGAGGAAGCCCTTCCCACCAAAGCCCACACCCCAACCGAAACTTTTCCAAATCTGCGTATCTCCTCAAGCCAGCGCAGCTGCCGCCAGAGTCCCCGGCCTATCCAGGAGAACAACTAGAGCATGGTGAGGTTGATGATATAAATCCGGGGGTTCCTTTAAATGGATCTATAAGCGTACCTTTAAGGGGTTCCTTTAAGGGATCTATAGGGCTTTAGAGTTTAGGGTTTAGGGTTGATGAAATAAACCCTGCATTGCATTAAGGACTCTAAACTCCGGAAACTATGGTATACTCCTTATTATGGGTGATGCATGACTTATATCATGAGCCGTAGGATTTAGGGTTTAAGACGGGATAGAGCCCTGATGGTCCCTCATCGCATTGCGCGCACTTAGCCCTGAGGGTACAAGTACCTCAGGAACTCAAATCTCCCCGTGCAACCTACCAAACTACTCTCTTACCTACCCAGACCCTCCAAAATCCCTTAATTAAGGAATGTACTTTAAATTATACTCGAATCCCTAATATGAATTAAGGTCTATTCCCTAATTAAAGGATTTTGGAAGGTCTGGGTACTTGTCGGGTATCATGGGGAACTACAGGTTAACCTTTTTGGTTCTGTAGGGGTTATATAGGGACTATACCACCCAAAAAAGGTTAAAAGGTTACCTACTCGACTACTACGGTTGATGATAGAAATCCTGCATGACCCATAATAAAGGAATATACCATGATTCCCACAGTTCAGGGTCCTTAAGGTAATGCAGGATTTATATCATCAACAGTAGGAATTATTCCGTCCTTCGGACCCAAGCACCTAATTTGTTCGTCCCTTCGGGTAGTGTCCCGGGGTGTACTTGAAGGCAGATGGGAGGCCCTAAACCCTAAAACCGAAACCCTCCCAGCAGCCCCCAACTACCCCTCGTTAGAGCCTAAGACTAAGGACGATATGGCCTCTGTTACAAGGTACTTGTGGGGTGCTGGTCAACCCTGACTCCCAAACCCTAAACCCCTCAAAGATCCACTTGAATTCAAGGAACCCGTCAAACCGTAAACCTTAAACTCTAAAACCTATAAACTATAAACCCAAAACCCTAGACCCTCAACACTAAACCCTAAACTCTAACCCAGAGGGTCCAAGTACCCAAATAATAGGGTTTTAGGTCCCAAAATCCATACTCTGAATGGTTTTTGGACCTTGAAACCCTACTATTTGGGTACTTGGACCCTTAGTGTAAACCACTTTTCTCCCACATGGCCTGGGCGTGCTGCAGGCCTGGCGGCACACACGAGCCTTGGCCGCTGCTGGGAGCGGTCAGAAGATACGAACCGTCGATTCGGGCTTCGGGTTTCGGGCTTAGGGTGTAGGGTTCCTTCAGAGGTTCCTTTCCTGGGCATCAAAAGAGCCCAAAAGCCTTAATATATGAGTCCTTAGATGCCTAGGGCTTAATGGTCCCTATAAGGGTTCAAGAGGGTTTGGGGTTTAGTAGGCTTTGGGGCCTGCAGGCTTTTGAGTTTAGGGTTTAGCAGGGTCTAGGGCTCAGAGCTATACGGTTTAGTAGGGTTTTATGGGGCTTACCTAAAGTAACCAAGGTGTTTAACAAAGGGAGTGGTGGCCAGTTTTAGGTACATGTCCCTTCTTTTCAGGTACATAGGCTACTCTTGATAAGGCTTACGTAGAGGTTTAGGGTTCGGTAGGGTTAAGGGCCTAGAGGCTTGAGGTTAAGTACGGTTCATACGGCTTACCCAGAGTGACCCAGGTATCTGAAACAAGGGAACCGTACACACCCTGTCTACTGTAGATTACAGCTTAGAGGTTTAGCGATACGCAGGCTTAGTGTTCTGCCGGAACTGATCAGAGGATCTTGATTCACCCTAGTGCTCCAGCTACGTGCTAGAGGTATCTCCCAAGCTATGTGAGTCGTACTGCGTGGAAATCCGAGCACTGACTGGAGCGTTAGAGTAAGCATCAAACTGCATGTTGAGTCAGTTTCGAGGAGCCCGAAGGAAGCCGCCCGCAGAATGTAGGGGCCTTAATAATTGGAAGAGGGTTTGGGGGGTACATTTCACAAAAGCAAGAATAAGGAACCCTCAAAACCCTATTCTAATTATCAAGGCCCCTACATTAAGGGCTTTTGTTTTGTTTTTGGAGGGCAGGGTGGGGGGGGGGGGGGTTGATGAGGTCAGACTCAAACCGTCAACCCTATTGGCTTCAATGGTTGGTGGTGCATTTGGTGCATCGTCGTTTTGAATTTGGGTAATCTCAGGGCTGCGGTTCGTTAGAAAGTAGGCAGTTCGTGATGTGTTTATGTATATGTCTATGTGTATGTGTATGCGAATCAAATGTGTATATGTAAAAAATGATTATGTATGCGTGTAGATGTGAACATATATCTGTCTGTATATATATATATATATATATATATATATATAGACACATGTGTCATGTGTGTCTATGCATGTTTGTTTTGCATATCCCGGTACAATACGGGTAACTGGAGCCCAGTGGGCTGGAAGTGCACAGGCAGTATGGTGGAGGGATTTAAGGATAAAGGGCTTAGGGGTGTAATCACAGGAGCGTCTGAGCATACCAACCGAGCAATCCCTACCTCGTTTGATTTCAACACCTACGTGAAAAGCCCTCTGTGTATACGGGACCCAGTCCAAACCTCTCATCAACTTTCCACGATCAGTCTTAAACTCCATATCATATCCCACATATACCCTAAACCCAAACCGTCAGCAAACCCTAGATCCTCCCACCTGGCAGCCGAGTCCAACAGGAAGCCCTGACAGCCGTCGCGAGTGTGCAGGCTCCCGAGCTTAAGGATTTCAATCCTTTGAGGGTTTTGGGGCTTAAGGGTTTGAGGGGTGTTAGGGTTTAGGGGTTTAGGTGTATAGGGCTTGAGAGTTCTCAGGGTTTCAGGGCTCTGGGGTTTCTATCCTTTCAGCGTTTCCCCCAAGGGTCCGAGTACCTTACAATCATGAACTCTGCTTAATATGAATCTACATAGCTACTATCCTAAGCCCACGTACCTTGTTATTGGCTCCTTTGGACCCTTGGGGTCAGGGCTTGAGGGCTTGAGGGTTTGAGGGTTTCCAGGGTTTCAGGGCTTTGAGCCTGGTAAGGCTCCTGGGTGTTTTAGGGCTTCGGGGCTTCAGGGTTTGGTTTTATTAGGCGTTAGGGTTTAGGGTACAGGGTTTTGGGGTTTAGGGTTGGCGCCTGACGCTTCCCTCTGCCTGCCTGTCTCTATGTGCGTGTGAGCCAGTCACTCTGTCAGGCAGGCAGTCAGCAAGTGTCTTAGTGCTTGGGTGTGTCGGTGTCTGTGTGATTTAGGTTTTGGGGTACTGTAGTATCCAGGGGCGTCATATGGGGTTCAACTTACGATTGTTGATGCACCCGCTGCCCTCAACCCAAACTCCGTAACCCTAAATCCTCCAAGCCCTCAGCCTGAAACCATAAATCCCTAAAGGACAAACCATGACCCTCCCAGGCCTAAGCCCTTGAGGTTCAGGGTCATAGCTCCTTAGAGTCCACGTGCCTATGTAGTTACATGGGAACACCCTCAACCCTGAAATCCGTCACCGCACAGGCCTACAACGTTTTATTGGGATCGGTGGCAGCACCTCGTTCGCGCCTCCTCGATGTGATGCTTGCGCAGATCTGTCGGTTTAGGATTCCGTAAGGCTCCATGTACCTTTATAGTATATACTTTGGCCTTAAAGTAGCTACATAGGGACCCCTTTAAGCTTTAAGTATGTACTATATGGGTATATGGAGCCTTTAGGACTTAGGTTTAGGGTAACCGTCGTCGCTGCAGGAGGCTCAAAAATTTTGAGCCTCCTGCAGCAACGACTTTCAATAGGCCCAGATCTGCTAATTTAAGTCTTCTGGAGTTCTTCCTGCATGGGACCCGTGGCGCCACCACAGTCAGAGTCACCCCAAGCCACGACCGATCCTAGTTCATGCTTGGGATAGGATTAAAAATCTCAATCTTGGTTACTTACGCGGTTTAAGTACCAATAAAATGTAAAATGTTACCCAACTATGACACAGGATCCATCACCAATAATGGCAGCAAAAGCGTGTTGAGCGCCTTGGATCTGGTGCACATCCTTCAGCTGATCCACCACAGCACTACTGTCGCCACCATAGCGAGCATCACCCCAAGTAACGACAGATCCATCGCCAAGAATGGCAGCAAAAGCGTAGTCAGTGGCTTGGATCTGCTGCACATTCTTGAGCCGATCGCGCACAGCACTGCTGTCACCACCAAAGCTAGCAACACCCCAGGTCACGACCGATCCATCACTAAGTGTGGCTGCAAAAGCTTGTTTAGCGGAGCAGATCTGCTGCACATTCCTCAGCTGCTCGTGCACAGCACTACTGTCGCCACCAATGGGCTCGCTACCCCAGGTCACGACAGAGCCATCGCCAAGAATGGCAGCAAAAGCATCGGGTGAGGCCTGGATCTGCTGCACATTCTTTAGATGATTCTGCACAGCACTACTGTCACCGCCGCAGAAGACAATACCCCAGGTCACGACCGATCCGCCGTCAAGAATGGCAGCGAAAGCACCGGTAGTGGACTGGATGTGCTGCACATCCTTCAGCTGAAGTTGCACAGCACTACTGTCACCGCCGTATTGCGCCTCACCCCAGGTCACGACTGAGCCATCTCGGCGAATGGCAGCAAAAGCACAGTGCGTGGCTTGGATCTTCTGCACATTCTGCAGTTGAGTCTGCACAGCACTGCTGTCACCACCACACTGACCATTACCCCAGGTGACGACTGACCCATCGAACAAAATGGCAGCAAAAGCTGCCTCAGTTGCTTGAATCTGCTGCACATTTTTCGATTGAAGCTGCGCAGCACTACTGTCACCACCACAGTCCCAAGAACCCCACGTGACAAGAGACCCATCGCCCAGGATGGCGGCAAACGCGTCTGCATTAGCTTGGATATGGCACACATTCTTCAGCTTGTCCTGCACAGCATGGCTGTCACCACCAAAGCAAGCATTGCCCCACGTCACCACGGTTCCATCACCAAGAATGGCAGCGAAAGCCTCTTCATTGGCCTGGACCTGCTGCACATTCTGCAGCCGATGCTGCACTGCACTGCTGTCTCCGCCAGCGTCTGCATCACCCCAGGTCACGATAGAACCATCTCCCATAAGGGCAGCAAATGCACGTCCGCTGCAACGTACTTGAGTTCTTCTGATGTGTAATGTGAGTGCATCGCCATTCTTCACATTGGCGTCTTTGATCTGTACAGCTGCATCCAGGACGGTTCCAAATCTGTCCACCAGCAGTCCTAGTTCATGGTTGGGATAGGATTAAAAACGTACATTTTTATTCCTTATTGGGATTTAAGTAACCATAAAACTGTAAAATGTTACCCAACTATGACAAAGTGTCCCTTTCCGACTTGAAGTGCGATCTGGGCTCGGCGCTTCAACAGCTCCACCTGTTCGTCCAAGGCGGCGTTCACGGATGCGCTCTTGCCACTGAGCAGTCTGACTTCCACAGTAACAGATTCCGACATGCTGTGGCACGCTGTTGTTCAAAGACTTAGAGGTTCTTCTTTTGAGACCTTCCTGTCAGACAGTTCTTTAAGTCTACTCGTCTCATGCATGGTGTCCGGAACAGTTTCCAAATCCCGGGCAGCACACGGGCCGTTCGGTTCTGCTTAAACTGCGGGAAGACGACTACGTATTCTAGTCAAACTCTCAAGTATCAAGAGACAGGGAATTAAACCCTAAGCCTGCAGTGCCGCACAGGATTCTGATGTCTCACGGCTGTCGGTTTTCAACCCAACCCCACACCGCCCAAAACCCGAACTTGAAATAAACGGATACTCAGAGAGCCCAAAAACCCCTAAATTAAGGAGTATAGCTTAATTCATAATATGAAGCCCCTTATTATTTAAGGTATGTTCCTTAATTAAGGGGTATTGGGCCCTCTGGGTACTCGAAGATCCGGGACCCTCAAACCCTAAACCCTTTGTCCCTATAAACCCTAAGCCTTTCTGTGGGTGCAAGCCTAAAGCCGTCGATCTCTGGGTGAATGTGGACACACCCTTTAGGGGTACCATAGGTTTAGAGTTTAGGGTTCAGGTGTTTAGGGTATAGCGGTCAATCTGCCCAACTAGTTAGGTACAATAACCCTGAAATACCTGTGTGCGAACCCGTTTCAGGCCCTAGGACAGGCCATGTAGTTACCCGGACCCTCGCGGAGTTGTACCACGCAACGACGATGCGAGGGTCGAAAAACGATAAACGACAAGTGTCGCGAGGATCACGGCTGAGAATATTTACATCGAGTGAGTCTGGTACACTCACTGCGTATACAAACGACAGCTCTTTGGTCAACTCCCAACCCCTATATCTCCACAAGGTACTAGAAAGGCCACTACAAGGGAAAAGGGTCCATCGTCCTGCAAAGACTAGCTACCCATGCAGGCATCATACATATATATATATATATATATAGACTCATATATGTATGTATGTATGTACGTATGTATGTATGTATGTATGCTACTATGTACGCTTCGGGGTTTATAGGGGTACAGCGCATAAGCTTTAGGAGACGTGAAACCCTCAATGAGCCCGACACTTTTCGACTACACACCTCGGAGATCATCAAATGCGCCATGCAAACAGAGCTCGATCTCGACATACCTGAGGCACAATGGACCACGACCTGGGCCAACTCTCCCTTTTCACTCCATGTCCGAAATTTAGGAATTTCGGTTTTAGGGTACTGGTATTGCTCCAGCTGCCGCCTATTTGAGTGGTGAAACACAGCATGTACCATGGGAGTCGCAAACCCTAAACCCTAAACCCTAAATCCCTACTTTAGAAGCCCATTACAGGTGGGTAGTTCCTCTTCCATAGTACTCCCATAAGACCCCTTTACCTTATAGGAGTGGTATGGCAGGCTTATGGGAGACTACCCACCTTAAAACTACCCACCTGTAAATGGCTTAGATACTTGCCTTGAAGCTACAGGTCGGACCCTGAACCCCTAAACCCTAAACCCCTAAACCCGAAAGGCGCGTATTCTTGGCTGACTTCTGAACCCCTCCTAAAAGCTAAAAACCTTTAGCCTCCTTGTTATAGTTCACATAGAAACCCAACAAAAGCTATAGTCTGAAGAGGCAACCAGAAGAACGCCAAGTATTGAAAAGATCAGATCAAGAGCTGCAGGGGTGGTACATTATAGTCTACCGTGCTTGTCAAGAGGTCTAGTTTAAGTTACCATAAAAGGGATCTTTAGTAGATAGTAAGGTTTCCTTATGTAAGGTAACTTTACCTGTAAGAGGAACTCTGAGGAGCCCGAAAAGAAATTATACCAGGGTTTAGAGCTCCTTTTAAGGGTACTATAGGGTTCAATACTAGCGATCCCTTTCGGGGTTCAGGGTTTAGGGGTTTAGGGTTTAGGGGGGTTTAGGGTTTAATGAAAGGTTCATGGGACTTGGTAACTTAAAGGGCTCCAAAAGAGGTTCCTTAAGGGGGGGTTCCAGAAGCAACCTATGGTGGTGGAGGGTTTAGGGGTTAGGGTTTTGGGTCGAGGGTTTAGGGGTTTAGAGTTTAGGGGTTTAGGGGTTTAGGGTTTAACGGTTTAGGGGTTTAGGGTTTAGGGTCTTGAGTTTAGGGTCTTGGGTTTAGGGTTTAGGGTTTTGGGTTTAGGGTTTTGGGTTTTCGGGTCTACTTAACGCACCCCACACCGCTATACACCCACCCACCATACCCCTCACCACCTGGCCCCCCTATACTGCTGCACATCTCGCAGTCAGGATCCTGTCTCTAAAGGCGTCAGCTGATGTAGGAACCTGATTAAGAAACCCCGGTCCTATAATCCCCCAAACTAACGAGGAATCATAAACACCCAGGCTTTCCCAATCAGGCTCCTAAACTCGCCAAAAAAAAGGAAGCCAAGGATCTCCAGAAGTTGCGAAACCTAAACCTGACTGACAAACTTAGCCTATCAAACACACCGTCCTAGACCCTCCATCTACCCTCTATTAGACCCTAAATGCCCATAAAATTATTTGGGGCTATATACCTCTGTTTAAGGGGTACAAGGGGGTCCTGGGTGTTGAAGCAGCTTCTTGCAAGTCCTCATGTATATATTCTAGAGAGACCTCGACACAAAACACAAGTTTTGGTGGGTTAAAGTAAGGCTGTCGATAGATGTGTCGCCCGTGCCATGCAAGGCAAAGGAGGGACGAGTGCTGCGTCAGCTTTGTCCTACTTGGAGGTTCGCAGGACCTAGTAATTATGAGCAACTGGGGTTTAAAATATTTATAAGTACAGTTATGTGACTTATAACTGGCGTTGCGTTGCTAAGACCTCTGCACCTTTAAGTAGACACTAGACACTGAACCCTTAAAGGAACCCTTAAAAGGAACTCTATTAGATAGAACCCTATACTATCAGGGGATGTTCCTGGTGTCTACGGCGGAGGTGTTCTCAGTAAATAAGAGGATGAATCCGCGATGTGATTGCTTCGGGAGCAGCTGGGGAGAGCTTGGGGAGTGGGTTGGGAGTTATGTAGTTGGGAGCAGCTGGGGAGTGGGTTGGGAGCACTAAAGAAGATAACTGCTGAAACCGGCACTTGGGCCCCTCCCGAAGCCGACCCGGATTCTTAAGCAAACCCGAACCGCCCTCCCGAAGACGACTCCGCTGCTTGCCCAAAAAGAATTCGGACCTGCATCCGGGAGAAGGCCCAGTTTGCAGAGCGAATTTGGCTTGAAGTGTGTCTTGGAGGGCGTTTGGTTTAGACTGGAAGGTAGTGAGTAGGTTGGAAGCGGTGGGTTGGGTAGAGGGTTGGAAACGGTTGGGTTGGGAGAGGGTGGGAGAAGGTGGGAGAGGGTCGGGAAAGGGTTGGGAGTGGGGGGAGGAGGTTGGAAGGAGGTTGGGAGTGGGTTGGGAGGAGGTTGGGAGTGGGTAGGAGGTTGGGAGTGGGTTGGGAGGAGGTTGGGAGCGGGTTGGGAGGAGGTTGGGAGTGGGTTGGGAGGAGGGAGGAGGTTGGGAGAGGTTGGGAGTGGGTTGGGAGGAGGTTGGGAGTGGGTTGGGAGGAGGTTGTTGGGAGAGGGGGAGAGGGTTGGGAGAGGGTTGGCACCCAACACAATGCTTACGAAGACGACCCAGAGAAAGCTGTGACCGAACACCACACTTACGAAGACGACCAAGCAAATATGCATACCCCAACACCCTTTCTTGTATAGTGAGAACACCTACTTTGCAAACACTTGAAGAATGCGTGGATACTACTCTAGAAGAAATCTTCAAATAGGACAGTCGTCGGGCCCGTACGTCGGCACAGGTAGAACCATTGCATTTGGTAAGCACGCTAAAAGCTTAGAATGCACACGAAACCTAAGCGAATCTTATATAGGTGACTGAGTGAATCAGTCAGGGTGGGTGAGCGAGTGAGGGTGAGTGGGTGAGTGAGGGAGGAAGGGGGAGCGTGTGACTGAGTGCGTGGGTGGGTGGGTGGGTGGGTGGGTGGGTTTCAGTTTCAGTTCAGTTTCAGTTAAGTTCCAGTTAAGTTTCAGTATCAGTTCAATATCAGTTCAGTGTCAGTTCAGTATCAGTGCAATTTTTCCTGGGGGCGGGAAGTTTCAGTTTCAGTTCAGTTTCAGTTTCAGTGGGGATCGTTATGGCCGAACGGAAACGTTCCCTCCCGCCATCTCTGCGTACCATAGGGTTCTATGACAGCGTCCCCTTTGAAAAGGAAGTACAGTAAAGGGATCTATAGCAGGGTCCAGTTTTGAATGGTACGATAGGGTTCTATAGTAAGGTCCATTCCAAAGGGTACTATCGGGTCCTCTAGTCGGGTCCCCTTTAGGAGCCCGAAGAGAATCCCTAAAGAGCCCTTATATGGAACCCCGTAGACCATGCCTAGAACCCTCTACTTGGAGGGTCGGGGGACTTAGTAAGTCGTTATTCTATAGACTTATAAGTATCATAACCCCAATTAGGATCCCTGTTAGGGTACTTATAAGTCTACTTCTTACCTATTTACTAAGTCCCCCGACCCTCCAAGTAACTACCCTCATATCCAAAAATACCCACAATTAATGCCCGTAAGGACTCTATTAATAAACGGCCCTTGGGGCGTCCTTGTAAACTAGCCCGGATTCCGGCCAAGTGCCTCCGCCTTGGCGACCTCTTTATGTATAAGGGACCTAAGGAGTTAAGATCAGGGTTTAGGGTTTAAGGGTCCCCCCTCTTTAAGGACCCCTAGGTATATACCGTTAATATAGCTATTATATACCCATTAGATAGCGGGGTTCCCATCAAGGGTCCCTCCTTTTGAAGCCGAGGTACCCCTCCCTTTTGGCGACCTCTGTGTGCGAAGTCAGAGGCCCGGATGAAGCGGTCAGCCAAGGAGGCCTCGGATTCTCTTGTCAAAGGCTTTTAGGGTTTGGGGTGTAGGGTTGAGGTTTAAGGTTCCCAGAGAGCCCAATACCCCTTAATTAAGGAATATACCTCAAATTATAAGGGGCTTCATATTATGAATTAAGCTATACTCCTTAATTCAGTGATTTTGGGCTCTCTGGGTTTGGGGCTTTAGGGTCGGTTTAGGGGTTCAGGGTTTAAGGGGACTCAGATGTATCTGGGGCTGAATGACATGGGTTCTGGAACACGGGCTGCAGAATGAGGACTCGCAAGAAGCGTGGCCTCCACTGATGGTTCTAAAATGCATCATAAAGCGTTTAGACCCTAACCCCTTCCATCGGCTTCAACCTGCTGCAAAGTCTTCAGCTGATCCTGCACAGCGCTGCTGTCGCCACCAAAGCCAGCACCCTAAGGGTTCATGTACCCAAAGAGTATATACAAGGGCCTCAAAGTAGTCCCTATTTCGGTTCCGTGGGGCCAACGTATATACTATTTGAGTACCTGGACCCTTATACCCTAGACCCTATAGAACCCTTTAATGGAACCCTTAAAGGAACCCTATAGCACCCTTAGATTACCCTTTACAGGAGCCCTTGAGGAACCCTTATAGTACCCTCTAAAGGACCCATTTAAGGAATCCTTTAAAGTTACTTGGCGTCTTATGATGATGTGCCCGAGCTCCCGACTAAGTCCATGTCGTCACGGAGTTCCCCTGCCTCTGAGTTGTGTAGGTGCTGGGCTTGCAGACCCTACTGAATCATGGGACTTGGTCAGTAACCCCAAGGGGGCGGGATTCGAGCCCATGGATTTTGGCATGAGGGCTTGTGAGTCTATAAGGGGGGGAGGAATGACGGGGGAGGGATTCGAGCCCGCAGACGTTGGGCTGAGACTCCGTACCAACAGTTACGCTTGTAATTACCGTAACTAGGGGAACATGAGAATAGTTGCCTTACATAGAACCCTAGTTACTGAATCCCATGAACCTTTCAGTAAGGCACTATCAAGCCCTAAAACCTGACAGGGAACCCTGTTGCAGAACTCTGAAATGTACCTTTTAAAGAAAAGGCCTGAAGGACCTTCCCTAGGGATTCACCCCAACCCTCAAACCTAAACAGCTAAGCTGTAAAACAAAGAAAAGCTTAAACCCGAAACTCGAAACACTAAACCCTTAAACCCCGAAAGCCTTAAACCCGAGACCCTAAACTCTAAAACCTAAAACGAAATCCTAAACCCTGCGCCCCAACAGCCGCAAATCCTAAACTCTCAACCCATTCATACTAAAAGCGAGGAGACTATAAATTCAACAGATCCAATAGTCAGCTTCTCGGGTGCCGGATTGAGGTATTGGGGCGCTTTGGGGTTTATGGTTTTGGATTTGATATAATGTAGGAGCCTGATTAAGAAACCCTGGGCCTATAACACCAAAAAAGTCGGACTCATATAATTAAGGAACCCTAGCAAAAGCCCAAAGTTTCTTAATCACGTTCCTACATTAGGGCTTGCTAGAGCCCGGTAAGAGGTTTTGGGATTTCGGGTTTAGGGCTTTACGGTTTAAGCGCTAAGAAGTTTTTGATTTTCTATTCTATGCACGTCCTAAAAGATTTTCTGCAGGAAGGGTTACTCTACCGGGCTTTTAGCTGGCAATCGCTATGTCCTGCGAGTCAGAATCCCAGATTTTCAAAGGTATGGAGCTTTAACGGCCGTAGGAGGTGTCGAGGGCTTGAGGAGTGGATCTATAGGCTGTCGCCTCTTAAAAAGATCAGGATAGTTTACCCTACGGATCCCTAAGGGTCCATGTGCCAAACAGTATATACCTTGGCCTATGAATTTAAAATACAAGAAATACTTCCTCTTTGTTCAAGCAACGGGCAAGAGTCTAAACGGTTAGCAAGAAATTACCTCGATGCAAACAAAAGAACTCGACAGTATCTAAACAAGACGTAAGGTTCCACGAACATGTGCATCTGCATATAACGCTCTGAAGGATCCACACACACAAACAGGTTTCAATATTCTGAAGTACAGCTGTTCTTCTATTTCGTTTGGTGAGCAAAGCTGATCTTGACAACAGATATGACTTTGTCCGATGACGGAACCAGGAGCACAGTTGGGAACTGAAGCAATTGAAGGCTCATGTATGAGTACATAGTCATAGTACAGCGCTTCTTCTACGACTTTTCCTTTCAAGTCTCAGGAATCTTGGGAAACTCGAGCCTAGCAGTGTGTGTTCGCATCGGAGGTTGCCAAAACATCGCCAGGCTCGAATTTCCCCAAACTTTGTGAAGCTGGAAGTGCCAAAACATCGCCAGCCTCGAATGTCACCAACATCCCCAAAATCCTGGCATCCATGAGGAGTGCGGTGCCATAGTTGCTTAGAGTTTTGGAATTTTTGGGAAAATTGAGCCTGGCGGTATTTTCGCACTTCCAGCTTCTAAAAATTTCGGTGAAATCCGAGCCTGGTGATGCTTTCGCATCCGAAGTTGCCAAAATTCTGAAGGCTCGAAATTCTCAAAATTCCTGAAGCCTGAAATGCAACATAAAACTGGCAGGGATCGAATTACCACAAAATAGCTAAAATCCTAGCATCTATGGGGAGTGCGAGGTCATAGTTGCTCAGAGTTTGGGAACTTTGGGGAAATTCGAGCCTGGCGATGCTTTCGCACCTCCAGCTTCATGCATTTTAGGAAAATTCGAGACTGCGATGTTTTCGCATCCGAGGCTGCCCACCTCCCATGATCCACTGCTTACAAAAACCAGGTTCGGGTGAATCATGGGGCGGGGGCGTGAGCACATATATATATATATATATATATATATATATATATATGTATTTAGATTTATATGCATATTTATCTTTCTTTTTTATATTGGTTTATGTGTGTGTATATATATATATATATATATATATTATGTATTATGGATCCCTCAGGGTCCATGTACCCGAATAGCATATACTTTGGATAAGGCCAGAGTATATACTATTTGGGTAAATGACCATCAATATATATATATATATATATATATATACGTATATATACATACATACATATATATGTGTGCCGTAAACCCTGGGCCTCCCGACGCCGAAGACGTGGACGTCGAACTCCTGGGAGAGATCTAGACCTGGAGATGTTTTTTTTTTTGGGGGGGGAGGGGGTGTGGGGGGGCTGAACAATTTGGCTTAGGGGTTTAGGGGTTTAGGGTTCAGGGTTTAGAGGTTTAGAGGTTTAGGGTTTAGAGTTTGAGGGGTTAGGGGTTTAGGGTTTGAGGGTATAGAGCTCCTTAAAAGGTGTCTATAAGGGCTCGCTATTAAGGATTTAATGTAGGGGTCTGAATAATTGAAGAAGATGTTGGGGTAAGGGTCTCTATATAAGGGTTACTAAAAAGGAGTAATATGCAGAAGGGCCTTGGTAATTAGAAGAAGGTGTTGGCGTACGTTGTACCATGATCATGACGAACATTAACAGATAAAACAAGCTTTCGGGGTATGGTATGTTATACCATGGCCATAATGAGCCCTCGGAACACTTTGGTAATGATTCAGGCCCCTATTATTCAAGGGAAGCTCCACGTGGGTAGTTTGCGGGTGGGTAGTTGGGGTGCTGTTTATGCGTGTAGTTCTACAAGGCTTGTATAAGCCACTTATAAGCTTTCCTTATAAGGGGTTTATATGAACCTTGCATAAGAATGAAGGTTGAAGCTCATGCGAGGCTATGTGCGGCCGTCGGTTTCCGTTCTTGCGAGAGGAATGCACACCATGATTTTGGCAGAACTCACGCTGCAGCTTTGGCCTTTGCCCGCCCACGGCCTCTGCCGCCTCTGACCATTCTGAAAGGAACAAGAGCAGCAAAGCAATCATCGGTATCGTTTGCTTCCAATGCACTATCTGAGTCTTTCTCAGCATCGCCATCATCGACAATCTTCCTTTTGCTCTTTCGTTTGCCCTTGGCGTCTGAATCTTATGTAGGCTTTATCAGAGAAAGCCGGCGGGAAACCTTGCCGTTGTTGTTGTTGGGCTCGCAACGAAGGTTTTTCAGGGCTCGGTCCCTCTACAGGGTTAGGGTATAGGGTTTAGTTTAACGACCCTTTCGCAAGCTTGCCCGGCCTGAACTTATCCAACATCGGCAAGCTTAAAACTTAAAACACGCAACTCTATAGTATATAAACCCTAAGCCCTACACGTGCCAGCCTAAGCACATTCGACAAGCGAGATGGCTTAACGTCTGGCAGGCAAGAAGTCAAGGGCTTCGACGGAACATGGGACTAATAAACACCGCGGAGTCAGATTTCAGGAACTTCCAAAAAATACTAGCTTTAAGCAGTCCAAATTCAAAACCCTGAATTCTAAGCCCTAGACAAACCCTAGGCCCAGAATTTTTGATTTCTAAACCTGAACCACAAACCCCCAAAATCCTCAACGCCAAACTCAGAAAGCCCTAGAGGGAGCCTGCGCGTCTGTGAAGGTCGGATTCTGCTGCATTCAACACCGACCGCCTCAAAGACGCACCCCAAGACAGCTTTCGTGTTGGGCCTTATCATAAGGTTTTAGAGGTTTGCATGGGGACTTCATGTTCTTATAGCCCTCAGGCTGACAATATCCGAAAGGCCTGGCATAGTATGGTCGTTGGGCCCTAAACGCCTTAACATGTTCCTCCCGGGGTAAGGGTTTCAAACGGTATTGCAGCGCGTTGAAACCTTTTGAGGTTCTCGGGTCTCAGGCTTTGCACGTCTACGCTTTTTGGGTGTCCGTGTACCCACATGGGTGGTTGTCGAAATTATGGTCCCTTTTCGGGTCCCTACTATAATACGGCACCTATTATGTAGGGCACTCAAAATGGGACCATAGTTTTGACAACCGTCCACAAACCTCTCAGCATGCAAAGGAACCATCGACTCATGGAGCCATGTAGCTCAAGACGTCAAGACCCCTAGAGGCTGAAACTATTCAATCGGAAAAACCTAGTGTTTAGGGTTCTCACTGGCCCAATTCTCAAGGGAATAAAAGTTGAAAAGTTGAGCTTACAGCCAATAAGGGTTTAGTTTTTAAGGCTTACGGTGTCGAGTTTCGGGTTTAGGAATGCTGATCCAGAGCCTTCAGGCACAACTAACCCCTGCCTCAACCGATCGAAACCTACCTTAATCTAGCACCCCCACAAGTTTTATTCAAGGACTGATACTAGGACCCTCGGGTACTTGGACGCTCTGGAAACCATCTGAAGCCCAGCCCGACCTCTCCTCAAAATTTTGATCTGCGATACCCAAAGGGTCCTAAACCCATAAAGGTCCACCCTGCTTGGAGGTCCATGGGACGTAGTAAGTACAGTTATACGTACCTTAACTGGGGTTAGAACACTTGGAAGTATAGTTACCTTACTTATAACCCCTAGTTACTAAATCCCATGAACCTCTAAGCATAAACCCTGAGCCGTATACACCCTTTAAGCCCTGGAGTGATCTCACCTACCAAGAAACCCTGAGATTGCGGTTTATAAGTCCAAATGAACCTCTAAGTGTCACCTCAAACCAAACCCCAAGGCCCCAGCAAAACCCCAAAATCTTGGAGAAGCAGTGAACAAACCCTAATTTAATGCCCACAAAAAAACGAGCAAAGCTTGACACTTCTGTGAAGTAAATCCTTATCTTACCCCCCAATAAGCCACAACAACAAACGACATACTCAACAACAAGAACCCCCCAAAGAAAAGGTTGGGCCTTGGGGATCTAAGAAAAACAACCCTCTGTGTAAACACAAACCTTGCTATGGAAACCCAAACCGGTTCGGTCGGTCGACACTCCACGGGCTTGAAACATATCCAAGTGATCTCGCAGGGCCGGCCTCGAGATTACAAGCTTCAAATTTTAGGGATCAGTGCTTTATTTTGCGGGTTCAGAGCAAAGTTAGGGTTCAGGGTTTAGGGTTTAGAGCTTGCAGGGTGTCGGGTTTTAGGCGCCCGTCATGTCCTGGCCCTAAACCGCAGGTCCATGTATCATTTATACACATCAGTCATATAGCTAGGCCACGTTAGGCCGCCTTAAGGGTGGTTCCTTACGCGGGGACTTTAGCGCCTCGAAAATACACGCTTAGAGCTTGGCACTTCTCTTATAAGGGTTCCGTAAATTTTCTCGTAGAGGTTTAGAGCTGAGGTGCAGTATTAGGGCCGATCGGTGGTGATTTAAGACTCCTTCGCAACATATTTGTAAAGTTTTTCTTTTTGAAAAGGTTTGATGGTGCAGACTGGTATTTGGGCTTGGGCTGGTCGTAAAAAATAATTTCCAATGGTATCTGACTCCTACGTACATGGGCCTCGCAAGCCCAGGGTGTGAGGCTTTTTGCTTTGGCTTAGGTCTTTATCCATGTGGGCGTTTATAAGGGATTAGGGCTTAAGGTGCCAGATACGCATCCCAAATATTTTGCACTGCAGATGCATGGAGGATGGATTCTTATGGGCTTATAGGCTCTCTGGTACGCTGCGACAAGCTGTCTGCCATCACAGTAGTTGAGACTCAAACTTCCTTCGACGATATGACATGTCGAAAAGTGCCCATCTCTATAACACATTAATGTACTTGTGTGACATCCTTCTGCGGTTCAATGCACCAAACACTGAACCCCTAAACCCGCTGTTTGTGGTTTGTATATCGGTGAAACTGCCGTTGATGGACACCTCGTATGCCTTTCAGCTGCACTGCACATCACCACCAGTGAGCCATACAAGCCGTAAGCACCAAGAGAAGCCCATATCGCTTTTGTGCTCAAAGATATCAAGTGCCCGCAGTCTCCATTAAACCCAAAACTCCAAACCCTGAATAAACCCTAGATGCCTGAACCACTACACCGTATAAGGCTAGAGAATATATAAAGACCTTTGTTGCCCCCATGGTCATCTTGCATGCAAGCGGCAGTCCGCAGATGAAAAGGCCGTCAAAGATTTCATCTGGAGCGGCCTGTGTCTTAGGGTGCAGGACAATTCAGGACCATGTAGTAGCTCCGTACAAGCTCTTGCCACGTTTGCTCTTTCTCTGCTTTCCTTGATGTCTACGCTTTCCCCGATTGTCACGGTGGGGGCTGCATTGCTCTGCACGAGTGTATGGCATGTCCTTGTAGACCGGAATGTCCGGGGCACGTTCTATAAACTCGTCTATTGCAGCATTGCCATCAGCCATCTCCGTATCGCTGGTTTGGCCACCATGTTGCCTCCTGTTGCCGTTCTTCGCTCCCTTCCAGAATTGCAGTCTAACAAAGCGCTGTTTGCCGATACCAGCACAAGCGGCATCTTGCCGACGCCTCGTTTCCAGAGACGTCCCTCTTGATGATTTGCCCATGATGTCGAGCTACAATTCGGCATGATTATACCCACATTTGTCATGATGCTATTTCACAGCTCCGTGAACGTACTCTTGAAGATGGTGATGTGTGATATGTTGCGATGCTGATTAGTTAGTGTGGTCGAACCACTGGGCCTGGAGCCTCATGCTTGCGAGCGTAGTTCAATCCAAACAAACTCCAACCCCTAAAATCCAAACAACTGGCCAATGACACGGCACTTATCAAACACACCTATGCCGGGCGGGCCTACATAGTTCAGCCCAACCACCTGATCTTCTGGTAAACACCCGATTTCGGTAAAGAAACCGCCTCTAATCACCAACAGCCCCTGTTTTTTGATCAAAACAAAACCAAGGTACGTCTTAAATCCCGCGCCCGGCAACAATAATACCAGAGATGGCGACAAGAGTTTTGGGCAAGTTTCCATTCATTATATTCCTTCTACGGCACCCCAAATAAATACTGTTCTGTTTATTCAGGCCCCGGGTCCTCCTTGATTTCTGCATCGGCCTCAGAATTCTTCTGGGTTGTGCGTGCGACTGGTACCCTAAGGGTCCAAGTACTCAAATAGTAGGGTTTCAAGGTCCCAAAACCATTCAGAGTATGGATTTTGGGACCTAAAACCCTACTATTTGGGTAATTGGACCCTCTGGGGTATATTACCCTGACGCTGAACTTGCTTATATAGGTAGGTTGGTAGCCTTCAGATTAGTTTCGGCATGTAGCGAAATTGCGTTTGCAATAGGCACGTCCTTCGGACCTTTGACCTGCCTGAACAAAAAATCAGCCCCCTTATTAAAGGCCACCCCTACCCACTAACCCCAGGAACTCCTAGCTCCTCATGAACCCCACACTCTTAAGCCCCTCGTGCTTAGAGCCGCTAGACCCTAAACCCTAAACCCCTAAATCCAAAAAACTAAACCCTTCATGTTGTAGAGCCCCTATACCCTAAACCTCACCCGTAGAGCCCCTAAACCCTGCATGATTAATGCAGAGGCCTTAATAATTAGAGTTTGGGGGTTTATTAGACGACTTGAGAGGCGAGCATCAGATTCTGACACTACCGCAGAGAATGCGACTATATCTACAATATAGAAACCCCAAAATTTGTAGTAATTGGTAAGTATCTAGGATGCCCATTTACCTAGGAATCCAAAGGGCTCCCTTTTTGGTATCGAGTACATAAGTAACCTAGGACTACAAAAAGGGAATATAAAAAAAAATACTACTGGGCATCCTAGATTATTAAAGCCCCTATACTTAAAGGATCACGGGACTTAGTACTTGGGGTTGTAAATAAGGTAACCATACTTATAGTTACCTGTAACCCCGATTAAGGTACTTATAACCTTACTTACTAACCTCCAAGTCTTGGCTGACTTCTGAACCCCTCCTTAAGGTTAAACTTTTAGCCTCCTTATTATAGTTCATATAGAAACCCAAAATATTAAAGTCTAATGAGCCAACCAGAAGAACGCCAAGTTTATCACAATCCTACTACCTAAGAGCCCAAAGCCTTATTACTAGGACCCCTACACCAAGACCCCCCTTAAATACCCCTTCGGTCCCATGATCCTCAAAGTAGTAGAACCCCTGTTAAGGCCCAGATCTTCCCCAGGCGGCCCAGCGATGGCAGTGGGCTCAGTCCTCAGTCGCTTCATCAGCACCTCAGCATCTACCGGTTTAGGGTTTACCTGGACCCTAAGAAACCTACCTTTTTAGGGTTCCTTAATATGATTTCTTTATAAAAATCCTTAAGAAGGTAGGCTATTTGGGGTTTAGGGTCTAGACTATAAACAGTCGGGGTTTAGGGACTTTTGGGTTTACCATCTAGGGACCAATAACCCTTCATTCGGGAAAATACCCTAAATTATAGTAGGATCCCGAATATGGCTTAAGGTATGTTCCTTAATTAAAGGATAGTGGGCCTACTTGGAGGATCCTTCTAAGGGTGCTAGAAGGTTCAAAGCAGGATTCCTTTAAGGGTCTGATTAAGGGAGAGTTTTGAGGATTAGGCCTTATTAGAGGGTCATAATCTACTTACCATGTTGTAGGCTATGGGGCTACAGGTATCCCTTGTTGAGGGTACCTATTTCTATGGTTAGTACCTGTTACATGACAGTAGGTACCCCCCCCCATCCCCCCAATGGGTAGGATATGTGAGGTTCAGTTTTGTTGTGTTCACGCTCCTTTGTCAGGTTTTGGAGTCTCTGGTTAGACACCCTAGAGCCTAAACCCCAAACCCCTGAAAAGGCCTCGTCGACCTGGGCGGCAGCACATCGCGCGGATTGACGCCAAGCCTATCAAAGCCAAGAAAGACTGCCTGTGACCCAAAAACCTCAAGATAAGGGCAGACTTACAATACTCAGGGTTTAGGGTACACTTGCGGATCCAAAAACCCTGCTGCTTTAGGTGTTATACACTTACGCCCCATTGATGAAGGGATCACGACCTAATCTTTACAGGTGTACAGTAGTTCGAGAGCAGCATATTGCTCCAGGGCCCATGTGCCTAAGCAAGTCCTCAAGCAGTTCATATAAAGATGACCGTAAAGCACATAGTTCCTATACTGTATCGCAGGAGGGACCCATGTGAGCATGCCCCGTAGGTGCACTATGAGAACGCAGAAGGTCAGCTACGGCCTCTGCACACAGTGCCCATCATGTCGTCTATACCCACCGACTATACGAGCAAGGAAATAGGCCACATAGCATAAAATCTACACCCGAACCCCTAACTCATGCTTAAGCTCTATAAGACTCCGTACAAGATTTTGCAAACCTAAGCTAGAGACCCTGCACAAATTTGAAAAGCCTATTCAAGAACACCTGTCAAGAATATCTGAGCCCATAAGCCCCTATATGAGTACTCATATAGCCCCACTCCAATACCCATTAATTAAGGAATATTCCTTACATCATATTAGGGATCCTACTACAATTTAGGGAATATTTCTTCATTAAGGGATATTGGAGTCCCCTAAACCCTAAACCCTATAGATCCCTTAAAGGAAACCCTAAGGATCCCTTTAAAGGAGCCCCTAGGTATTCCTTAATTAAAGGGATATATTAGAGTCTCTGGGAGACCCGAAGTGCAGCGCCTTGCCGGCAGCCACGGCTCGGCAGCGTGGCAGAGAAAGGCGAATCATCGGCTACGATAGGTCGAGGAGTGGCAGTTTATAGGGTTTAGGGGTTTAAGGGTTCAGGGTTTAGGGTTGAGGGGTTTAGGAGTTTAGGGTTTAGGGGTTTAGGGGTTTAAGGGTTTAGGGGTTTAAGGGTTTAGGGGTTTGGGGTTTAGGGTTTAGGAGTTTAGGGGTTTAGGGTTTAGGGTTTAGGGTTTCGGGGTTTAGGTTTTAGGGGTTTAGGGTTTGGGGGTTTAGGGTTTAGGGGCTTAGGGTTTGTGGGTTTCCGTGGGTTTGTCGGTGTCTAGGTTTTAGGGTTTGGGAGTATAGTGTTTAGGGGCAAGCTTCTCGTGTAACTTGGCAATGAAAGAGGGACTCTGCAGGAAGGTCCTCCCAAGAACTTCTTAGTTGCTGAGATCATAAGCCCCATAAAGCGTACACTTTTAGTTTTATAGTGGGGGTTCTTATCCCAAAAAGCCTAAAGTGTATCCACTCAGCTACTAAGACTTTCATAAGAAGGTAGCTTTAGAGGGTTCGGCAGGGCTTCCAAGTTACAGGGCGCAGTTACCTGGAAAATGAGCGACTGCGTTGCATAGTCTGTGATCACTTACCTACTACTGTATTCAGGCAACTGAAGCCTAAACTTAAGCTACCACAGTGTGGGGTCTTAGGAAGTTTTGGGGAGGGGTCCTACAAAAAAAAGAGGTTTGGGCAGGTTAAGGTAGCGCAGGGTTTTGGTATCCAAAGCAGTTACTTGGAAGGGCAGGGGACTTAGTAAGTAGGCTATAAGTAGAGTTATGAGTACCCTAAATGGAGTTACCCCAATGATAACCCTACTTATAACCTACTTACTAAGTCCCCTGCCCTTCCAAGTAGGTAACTGGGGACCGGGGGTCAGGTGGGGGGCTGAAGCTACAGTTAGGGACAGTGCTGAATCGGGGAGTTTCCGAAAATTAGGGACACCTTATTTGGTGTCCTTATAATAAGGATCCTACTATTTAGGGTACTATATGAGGGTTCCCTATTTTCGGTAACTCCCATAGAGGGTTTGGGGTTTAGGACTGTAGGGTTTCGGCAGGGTGTTGGAATGATTTGCAGTGGTAATGATTTCGGCGCAACTATTAGACTATTCGGCCCCTAAAACCTACGTGGAGGTTCATGGGACTTAGTAAGTACAGTTATAAGTACCCTAATCTAATTGGGGTTATATAAGTACATGTAAGTACTAATTGTTACTTTAGTTATATAGTTACCAAGTCCCATGAACCTCTAATTACGTAAACCCTAAAACCCAGTATGGTCTAGGGGAGTCCGGAATCCTAGAAGCCAAACCGACAGAGCTGCCCTAGGGTCTGAGGCACCAGGAAGCTGCTAGAGCAACTCGCCAATATCAGAATTCATGGCTCGTGGATTAGGGTTCGGGTTTAGGGTTTACGGGTTTAGGGGTTTAGGGGTCTGTTAGGGTTTAATGAGGGTTAAGGGCTCCCGACAGCTCAAGCTGACGGCACTGTTGCGTCACCTCTAAACTAACAACCGGAGGCGGAAGCAATCTTTGGCTTCAAATGCTAGAGCGAAACGGGCGAAGCTGCAAACTGTGCAATGCTTGGTTGCCAGCGAAGGCCCAAACCCGAAACCCAATGCCCTACATGCTAGCGCATTCGGCACAGGCATAAGGATTGACATCGTGAAGTAGGTTGTCTTCCCGAGTAGTCCAATCATCTCCACATTAGGTTGCTGTGCTCATCCGAAAAACTAGGCAACAAGTCTACATGTGACATAGCTAGTATGGCCAACGGGCCTTGCAGCAAATCCGGAACTACACAAACAACGGTAGGTTAAAGCAGGGATGTGCATAATTGTCCAGCAGGATTGCGGAAATTTTGGGGCACATGCCACAAGGTTAATATGTAGGGACAGCAACATGGTATCATCATTGATGCTTCAAGCCTGTCTGTATATCTACAGGACTTAGACGGGACCTTCATATTTCCGCGGAGCGCGAACCTTACGTTGCACAGGGACTGCGGTCTACTAAAGAAGTGCTCACTGTGCACTTCTGAGCTGCTGGGTCAAACTCGATTAAGTTCGGTCGTGGCTTTCGTTTTAGTGGTATGGTCTGCCGTCAGGGTCCATGTCCGAACATAGTAAATACTCAGGTCTGCACGAGGTTCTTCTAAAGGTACGTTAGGGCTGAATTAGCTTGAACCGCAGGCTTAGGATTTCAAATACCACATTCCAATCAGCCAATGCCACACCCTATACCCGAAACCCGAATTCCTACCCCGAATCCCGAGACAAATACTCCAAGATCTAAACCCTCGAGCGACTTCCAAACCGTAAACACGAAAACCAAATCCTTCGGTTGAAGATATAAATCCTGCATTACCCATAATAAGGAATTTGCCAGAATTCCCATAGTTTAGGATCCTTGAGTAATGCAGGATTCATATACACTGAAAACCAGCTACCGAAACCTGTGCTGTGTCCGCTATGATACCTGTTGGGCTGTACTTCTTGTAACCACCGTAGCTGGCAAACTAGATATGGCATTAACATATGAGTGCAGTTCTCTTGCTTGCTTAAAGCACCTTGCTGACACTTGGTAGAGCTCGTGACCTCAAGACCTTACTAACTGCAATTAATAAACCATTGAATCAACAACCCAAGATCCTCAGCCCTGCCTACGTAGACGTAGGGGCCTGCGGCCTGAGGTGGGTTTGATCAGAATTCAGCTAGGCATGTGGGGACTAGATGGGGACATTATTTTACACTGGTTATTGGCCCCCTGGCCCTCAAAAACTAAGCCGTCAACCACACACACCCTAAACCCTAAACCCTAAACCCAAATTCCAAAGCCCTATGAGACGACCCCACCCCACCATCAATAGAGGGCTGCCTGCAAAGCGCCAGACAGCTTCCCCAGCCTTGCACGGTGTGGGAGCAGTCAAAGAAAGCAAACCTTCAAATCCTGCATAGGATCCTAGAAGGGTGCAAAAAAGGCTTTCCGGTTTAGGGTTCAGAATCGAGGTGTCGGGTTTACGCGTTGCCCTCACAGGAGCCCTGGAAGGAACCCTTACAGTACTTCTAAAGGCTCTTTATGGGCATCTATAAACACCACTATGGTTTTGAGTCTAGGGGCCAGAAGGATTAGAATCGGGTTCAGACGCATGTCTCAGGCTTGACAGAGGGTTTTATTATCTGTGCTTCGGTCTGTCTACTTAGAGTTCCGGAGGGTGGTTTACTCGGCTATACATGCTATAGGACTTTTTGCATGCCAGGCCATACAAACACAGATGGATATATATATATATATACACACACACACATATTTACACACACATATAACATAGATATGTATATACATAGACACATATACATACAGATGGGTAGATAATACAGCTCTAGATAACCCTCTTTAGTCTGGGGTTGGGCACTCTCAGGTGGAGACCGGCCGAGGAGTAGACCTGAGAAAGGCATAAAATCTGAGCTAAACCTCTAACAACCCCACACCGAGGGTGGGGAACAAAACTAAACCCTAAACCCTAAACGGCTCTAAACCCTGAACCCCTAAACCCCTAAACCCCTAAACCCCTAAACCCCTAAACCCCTGAACCCTGAAGCATCCCTCGTGGATCCCGGAACCCTTCAAAACCCTACAATCAAAGGGGAAAAGGAGGGACCCTTAATGGGGACCCCTACCCTATAATGGGCTATATAATAGCCATATTAAGGGTATATACCTAGGGGTCCTTATTAGGGGTCCCTCCTGTTACCCTTTGATACAAGACCCTGAGCCGAGCCCAGGCACACCGAGGAGGGCGGATGTTGCCCAAGCCGGCCCAAGGCGCGCAAGGAACGAAGCGCAGGCCAAACCTTCCCGTATCTTCAAAATCGCTTAATTAAGGAATACCCGGAGCACTAAGGTTTAGGGTTTAGCGAGTTATTAGCCATGATGAAATTAGGTTCCTGAAACCACAATAAGAATGGTCTCTTCGGACCTAATGGAGCCTCTACGATATACATTACCCTAAGGGTCCCAACACTGTGGGGAACCTCAAGATGCAGGCCCATACGCTACAGGTTCATGGGACTTGTAGTACAAACAAGGACTACGAATAAGGCAACTCTGCTTATTATAATCACTTTTAAGTAGCGTCTAGGTCCAACATACTATACTCTGAGTGAGTTTCGGTGCCGAAAAACCCACTATTTGGGTACTTGGACCCGCTGATATTTTATCTTGGGAGAAAAATGAATAAATATGTGGTTGGATTTTGGACTGTTCAAGATGATAGTTACAGTGATAGCCTAAACCCTAAACCCCTAAACTCTCCTCCCCTTCCCCATCGTTCCCTCCCGCTCGTGTTCTTGCATGATTTTGGATTGGATTTGGGATTGTTCAAGATGCTACGTTTGATGGTATATATCCTCCATGACCCATAATACGGAATATACCATAATTCCTATAGTCTAGGGTCCTCAAGGTTATGCAGGATTTATATCATCAGCCGTAGCTGGGTGTGCTCCGGGCGCGGTGAATCCAAGAAACCCGAAAGTCCGGACCCCCCAGGATTTTGGACCACAAAACCACCATAATGAGAGAGAGACAGACAGAAACAAAGAGAGAGAGAGAGAGAGAGAAAAAAAAAAAAACAAGATAGAGGCAGCGAGAGAGAGCGAGAGAGAGAGAGAACAGTGAAAAACATAAAAACGCACACTAAACCCCGGAGGAATCTGTACCTTTCCGAAAATCCTAAACCCTCAACCATGAAAGTCTAGACCCCCTAAATCCTAAACCCCAGACCCTAAACCCCCTAAACCATAACGAAAAGCCACCTTAACTAGAATAGGGTTGGAGGCCCATTTTTCATAACCATTTAATTAGGAACCCCTAAACTGCTATTGGTAATAGTTTAAGCCCCTATACTAAACCCCCCATGATACCCGCTTCAGGAACCCTAGTATAATGATTTAAGCTCGGGTACCGCCCCCATACAGTAACAGTCTTTAATAGGGCTACTATTAAGGTCCTAATATATCTATATTAAGAATATTATCCAACTGTTACTGAGTGGAAGCACTATCCAAACGATGACCATCATCTTAAGGATAACCCTAAACCCTAAACCAAATTTCAGCCCCTATAGTACCCGGTCGAAAGGGCGATGACCTCGTCACCACCGGAGGTAGCGGAGGCCTGCGGCTCGCTTTGGGGCTATGCCCTATGCTTTAGAATCAAGGTTTAGCATTTAGGGTTTAGGGGTAAGGGTTTGGGGTTTAGCATTTCGGATTGAGGGGTTAGGGTCTATGATTAGGCTATGCCCTATGTTTTAGAATTTAAGGTTTTGCATTTAGGGTTTAGGGGTTAGGGTTAGGCATTTAGGGTTTAGGGGTTAGGGTTAGGCATTTAGGGTTTGGGGGGTAGGGTGTGGCATTTAGGGTTTGGGGGTTAGGGCTTGGCATTTAGGGTTTAGGGGTTAGGGTTTAGGGTTTAGCATTTAGGGTTTAGGGTTTTGCATTTAGGGTGTAGGGGTTAGGGTTTAGCCTTGAGGTTTAGGGGATAGGGCTTAGCATTTAGGGTTTAGGGGTTAGGGTTTAGGGTTTAGCGTTTAGGGTTTAAGGTTTGCGGTTCAGAGTTCAGGGTATGAGGGGTTCAGGGTCTATGGGGCCCTAACTGTGAGGTCCTTGGAAGCATGGAATGGAGTTATGCAAGTGTTCAGAATAGGAAGGGCCCCAATTGAGGTTCAGGGTTGTTTAAAACAACAGAAAAGGTCATGGGTTAGAAGAATTAAACCCTTAACCCTATAAACCATAAATGGTAAATGCTAAACCCAAAACCCTAACCCCTAAACCCCAAATGCAAAACCCTAAACCCTAAGATGCTGAACCCTAAACCCTAACCGTTAACCTCTCTGCCCTGAAGTTGGAGTTGAAAGTTTTAAATCACTGGGAGACCTAGCCCGGAATTCGGGCCGTTTTCAAATTTTAGGGGCTTTCGGGTTTAAAGGTTTAGGGTCTTCTAGGGCTTAGGGTTTAGGGTAGGGGAATTTACCGATCACAATCTAGCTCTGTGGTATCTTTTAGGATCTCTGCGAATAAGAACCCCTACAAGAAACCCTGAGGACTAAAGTTGATTTAGGCAATCCTACTGTTGATGATATAAATCCTGCATGACCTTAAGGACCCAAAACTATGGGAATTATGGTATATTCCTTATTATGGGTAATGCAGGATTTATATCATCAACCGTATCTCGGGGGATGGAACCTGAAAGGTTCAAGCTTTAGCCTTACAGGATTCACCTGTGGATCCGACAACCTACCGTTTTAAGGGTTCTACCTCTACTTAAGGGGTCATAAACTACTATTTTGTGGGGTTTGGGGTCACAGGTAGGGTTTTGGTTTAAGGTTTAGGGTTTAAGGTTAAGAGCTTCGGGCTCAGGCTTCATACTGTTGATGATATACATCCTGCATTACCTTAAGAACCCTAAACTATGGGAATTATGGTATATATAAATATATATATATATATATATATATATATACATATTCCTTATTATGGGTAACGCAGGATTTAGATCATCAGCCGTACGTCTTTCACATGGGTGGTTGTCAAAATTATGGTCCCATTGGGTCCAAAACATATTGTACGTCCCTAATACCCTAAACCCTAAACAATAAACCCCTAATGCATAAACCCTACTAACCCTAAGGCTCAAAATAGCCCGAAAGCCTTACATAGTATGGTCTTTGGGCCCAGAAGCCTTAAAATAGGAGTCCTTAGAGCCTAAGGGTAAGGCTTCAAGCCTACACCGGCACGCACCTTTGCAACCTGCAAGCCGTGGCATCGCAGTACGCCAGGCTGTTATTATGGCAAACATGATGAGAGAATGGGATGGAGCCAGGTACGGTTTAGGGTATGTTGTCGCTGCTGATGATGACGGTGGTGATGGAGTTTGAGGAAGATACTGTGATGTTGGTGGCAATCATGACAAAGGCGGCAATGTTTTTAAATGGTGGTGATGTTTGTTAGTACTATGGCAAAATGAAAGTGCACCGGAAATGTGCTTGGGATCACACATGTGCGGCAGGGTGCCAAGAAACTGCAAGACTGACCCTATACTACTCCACAAAATCTCTGAAACCTTACGTTTATCTTGCAAAGCGCCTTTCTCCGCATGGCATTAAGCAACTGCGCTCTGTTGTCCAGGCTGGGGCAACTTTGGCCAATCCGATCTTTGGGATAACGCCCGTCTAAAATGCAGTCCTAAAGCCAGGCGATGCAATCCAAGTCTCCATCCCAAGGTTTAGGGTTTACCAGCACCCCCAACTACCCTCGATTATACCCAAAAGCCCACTATTCAGTCCCTGTATTAAAAGGGTACTTGCGGGGTGCTGTTAGAGTTTAAGGTTCATTAGTTAGGGCTTCTATATTACGGATGGTGTAGGACTTGCCTTTCAAGCACCGAGTGAGGAGCAATGGAACCGGACAGCCCCACAACCCTAAACCCTAAACCGACACTGCAGTCTTGGCAGGAGACCCTAAAACCCTCCCTCTAAAGCTAGAGAGCCAACTACTTGGTGGTTCATAGGACTTGGTTTGTACAGTTATAAGTACCCTAATTGAGATTATAAGTACATATAAGTGTAGTTACCATAACTACTACCCTAGTTACTAAGTCCCATGAACCTCCAAGTAGAGTGCCTAAACCCGAAACCTCAACCCTGCAGCCCCTTAGCCAAAAGCAACCCTTTGGGTCTGGGTGCCGATAAAGGTTTCTTGAAGAGGCTCCTTGAAAAGTCCGCCTACGGTTGTTGGTTTTTGGTTGGGTTTGGGCTGTGTAGGAGCAAGGTTAAAATCGCACACGCGATACCGAAGTCTCACACATGTTTAAATGCACACACGAAAGACCCAAATTTTCCAGGGTCTAAGCCAGAACGGGGCCCAAGGCCTAAGGACTGAAAGTCGAGCTGCACTCCGAAATCCTGGGGTTAGGATGTAGAGTTCAAGAAGCATGCACACTTAGACTGAGCTGTGAAGCTATGGCTTTTTGCTTTCAGTGACTTTTAGATAAAAAGAGCCCTAAGCCCTGAACTCCAAACCCTCAGCTCGACTTGGCTTTCTCTGCGCTCAGCAGTGGCGATCCCGTCACAAGCAGGGCTAGCGCAGCCAGCAATGCGAACACCAGTAAAAGCAGTCCAGCCTGCTCGCGCTTTGGTGAGTGAATTGTATGGTTCAGGGCTTTTGGGTTACGGTTCTGGGTTTACTTGGAGGTTCATGGGACGTGACTTAGTAAGTACAGTTACAAGTACCTTAACTGTGGTTATAACCAATTATAAGTATAGTGACCTTGTGTATAACCAAAGTTACTAAGTCTCATGACCCTCAAAGCAGACCTACAAACCCTAAACCACCATAGATCCATTATCTTATAGAACCCTTTAAGGAACCCCCCTTAAGGAACCCCCCTTACAGAACTCTAAGTACTGGGCTGACAGGATTTCGGCTTCGAGTTCTTAGCCCCCTTGTAGTATCCTTAAGGGAGGGGGGTCCAAGTGGGGTAGATAGCCTAGTGATCCCTAATTCTCCCTAGTACTCCCCAAGGTTCCCTTACAGTCCCCTAAGGATTCCTTATACCCTCCCCCCTTGAACCACCCTCCCTTAAGGATCCTATAACCCCCGGGTGCCGTGTCGCCGAAGGCGTCGATGACACGCCCGGTGAGTAACGGCGCAGCCACACGGCAACAAGCACCGACCTAGGAGGGACTTCAGATGTACAATATAAAGGCCTTAAATAATTTCAATAGGGTTTTGGGGTATATTCTGCTAGAATCATAATACGGAACCCCTTTGACAATAATTAGTATTGGTACTTATTTAGGCCCCTATAGTAAACCCTAAACCCCAAGCTGCGGCTCTGCTAGAGACCCCAGAAAAGCACATACGCAAAAACCAGGATGGGGATATCCCATATAGACCCCCTTATAATGACGCCCAAAAAAGGTAGGGATTTCCGTGCAAAAAGCTTATGCAGATGCCTAGTTCATGGTTGGGATAGATAAAAAAGTACATTATTATTCCATATTGGGTTTGAGTACCCATAAAATTGTAAAATGTTACCTAACTATGACGAAGATGTGCTTTTGGGTCAGGGATCCAGGCTGTCAGCTCGAAGGCCACGGGTCAAGGTTCACGGTGTAGTGTAGGGGCTTTAATAAAGAGAATAGGGCTTTGGGGTCCATTATACTATAAATATCATAAGGAACCCCCAAAAATAGGAGTATAGAGGAGCTTTTCAAAGGAACCCTTAGGGGCGTTATAGATTATATAAATGCCTTGGCATGTGCATCCGCGGGGACTTAAAGTCGCGTGGCTGCGATCCCTGAGGCCCTAAGGCTCCATGTAGCTTCATAGTAGGTACTTAAGCCTTAAAGGGGTCCCTATATACGTACTTTAAAGCCTAAGTATATACTATATGGATACCATGGACCCTTATACCCTAAACCCTATAGAACCCTTTAAAGGACCTCTTTAAGGAACCCTACTATATGGATACATGGAGCCTTCGGGTGAGGTGGGAAAGTCGCAGAGCTAAACCTTTATTGTCCTTAAGGGAGGGGGTTCTAAGGGGGGAGGGTATAAGGAATCCTTAGGGGACTGTAAGGGAACCTTAGGGAGTAGTAGGGAGAATTAGGGATCACTAGGCTCTCTACCCCCCTTGGACCCCCCTCCCTTAAGGATACTATTTAAACGGTTCAGGCTGTACCTGGAACCCTACAAAACCTTCCTTCCTTCCTTTTGAGGGTACCTAGGAACCCTTAACTCCAAGGGACCCTTAATAAGGACCCCTAGGTATATACCCTTAATATGGCTATTATATACCCATTATATAGCCCATTATAGGGCAAAACCTTCCTTTTGAGGGTTCCCCTATTCTGACTTCCTTACATAAGTCTACATAAGTCCTTAAAACGTCCTTAACAAGGTAGGTCGGTTATTTGGGGTTAAGGTAGGCATTAAGTTACAGGGTTTGGAGTTAAAGGTTTAGCGTTTAGTACGCTGCAGCCTGAACCCGATCACGAAAGGGTTCGGGTCAAGGTAGGTCCAGAACCCGAACCTTGACTCTAGACACCCATCCAGATTTGGTTTAGGGGCTCGGTGCAAGTGGAACCAAGAGCACTAAATTAAGCATGTACGACAACATACACAGGCTTTACAACCCGTCCGGGGCACGAGGTCCAATGCGCCCATGACGGCACCGCGTTTCCTTGACTTGCGGTCATGCCGTTACAGTAATGGAAATATTAGTGGGTAGTCGGGGGCTGTAAGTAGTTACACCCCAAACGTCATTCATCCTCAATACTGATCTTCACCCAAAACAGACACACACACACACGCTCACAAACACGCGCGAAGCCACCGGTTGCAGGGTTCAGGTTCGTCCCAAGGGCTTGAGGTTCATGCTGTTTCCCTAAGGGTCCAAGTACCCAGATAGTCTTTAAGGGTTCCTCTAAAGGGTACTATGAGGGTTCCTTTGAGGGTTCCTTGACAGGGTTCTATAAGGGTTCTATAGGGTTTAGTTCAACAGTCAGAAGAAGGTTTGGGGGGGGTACATTATATCAGGGTTATATTGAGGAAACCTAGGAATACTAACTAACATTACCATCTAAATATTCCGGCCAATGCCCCCAAGGCTCCAAGTGACCAACAGTGAGGACATTAAAACCCCAGAATTTGAGCACTATTTGGGCACTTGGGGCTTCAAGGTCCGAAAAACCTACATCCGTGAAGGTTTCTTGTTAGACAGCTGCGCCTTGGAGGGTTCGCCACGGTGAGAGAAAGCCAACTGATATTATGACGCCAGCGATCGCTAAGTGATGTGTTTCTGGTACCCCTTGGAAAGACACCCCGAAAAATTCACGCAAGCCGTAATACAAGCCCTGACTTACGAGGAGCGGGAAACTCTTTCGAACACGTAACCCAACCTCAGGTTGAAGTGGGAAGGCAGCTCCCTAAACAAAAATAGACTGGATAATCAAACTTTAATCTCCCTTACATACAACAGAAACGAAGGTCTAGAGTCTACCTGTAGATCCGAAAACCTACCGTTTTAAGGGTTCTACCTTCTACTTAAGGGGTCATAACCTACTAGTTTGTGGGGTTTGGGGTCACAGGTAGAGTTCCTAGTCTGTTGCAACCCTGCGAATCTGGACACGGCAAGCCTGACTTATGGTGCAAGCTGCAAGTGTCCAGTGTAATGCACAGCTGCTACTTCTTGCAAGGCTGCTGCTTGATCTTGACAGGAAGAAGACAATCCTTTGCAGTGACCCGTATGGAAACCCACTGTAGTTCCACCCTAGATCTGAAATCACAAGCCAGGAAGTCCCAATTAACCTCCAAGTCTTTCGCCGCAAAGCCGCGGACGGGCTTCGACTCCCAAATGATTACCATGGCTTGCCTTTTCGGGATAACTACAGCAGTTCTTCCTCTTCCTCTTCATCTTCCTCCTCCAGCTCCTCCTCCTCCTCCTCCTCCTCCTCCTCCGCCCTGTCTTCCTTCTCCTCTTCTTTTTCCAGCCCCCAGGTGACAAAAGATCCATCTCTCCGAATTGCAGCGAACGCTTGGTTTGAAGCTTGGATCTGCTGCACACTCTTCAGCTGACCCTGCACAGCAACACTACCACCACCAAGGTTGGAATGCCCCCATGTCACGACGGAGCCATCGTCAAGAATGGCAGCAAAAGCACTGCAGGTGGCTTGTATCTGCTGCACATTCTTCAGCCGACTCTGCACAGAACCACTGTCACCGCCATGGTCCGCATCACCCCAGGTCACGACGGATCCATCGCCAAGAACGGCAGCAAAAGCGCAGTCCGTGGCTTGGATGCAGTGCACGTTCTTCAGCTGATTATGCACATCACTACTGTCACCACCGTAACCAGCATGACCCCAAGTCACGACAGACCAATCGGCAAGAATAGCAGCAAAGGCGCCGCCATTATAGGTTTGGGCGGCTTGGACCTGCCGCACACTCTTCAGCTGATGCTGCACTGCACTACTCTCACCACCGTAACCAGCATGACCCCAGGTCACGACAGAGCCGTCTGTAAGAATGGCAGCAAATGCGCCACCAGTTTCGCCTCCGGCGGCTTGGACCTGCCGCACATTCCTCAGCTGACTCTGCACTGCACTACTGTCACCACCGTAAGCGGCATGACCCCAGGTCACGACAGAGCCGTCGGATAGAATGGCAGCAAAGGCGCCGCCATCAAGGCCTCCGGCGGCTTGGACCTGCAGCACATTCTTCAGCCGACCCTGCACAGAACCACTGTCACCGCCATCTTCCGCATCACCCCAGGTCACGACGGATCCATCGCCAAGAACGGCAGCAAACGCCCTGTCCGTGGCTTGGATTTGCTGCACATTTTTCAGATGAACCTGCACAGCACTACTGTCACCACCATAGTTGGCATGACCCCATGTCACGACGGAGCCATCGTCGAGAATGGCAGCAAAAGCACAGTCCGTGGCTTGGATCTGCTGCACATTCTTCAGCAGATCCTGCACAGGACTACTGTCACCACCATTGGCAGCAGCACCCCAGGTCACGACGGATCCGTCGACTAGAACCGCCGCAAAAGCGCCGCCAAAAATGTCCGTTGAGGCCTGGATCTGCTGCACATTCTTCAGCTGATCCTGCACGGCACTACTGTCACCACCTTGGGTAGGATCACCCCAGGTCATGAACGATCCATCGCCAAGAGCGACAGCAAAAGCACCATTGGTGGCTTGCACTTGAACTCTGCTTATGTGCAAAATGAGCGAGTCACCATGCTGCAGCCGGACGCGCTTGATCGGTGCACGTACATCCAGAACTCCCCCAGATGAGTTCACCAGCTGCCCTCTGCCCACTTCGAGCGCCGCCTCCGCACGTCGTTTGAGCGTTCCCACTTGTTCCTCCAAGTCGGCTTTCACACTGGCTGTCCTGCCGCTGAGCAATCCAACTTGCACAGTAAGCGACATCTTAGGCGGCAGAGAAGCACGCAAGTCGGTGTGTCTACACACAGACGTTGAATTTTGTTCAACATGGATTACACGCAAGTTAGGGTCTAGAGTAAGGCTTGCAGCTCAGTGTTGAAGATTTAGGGCTTAGGGCTTAGGGTTGAAAGGCTAAAAAGTTAGCCAACACACTGGCTTCCTACAGATAAAAAACTCAGTGTTATCTGGGCATGTGATATACCTCTGCCTACCAAGATCTTCATTGTCTTAGCCTGCATTGTAAACATGTGGGTTCTGACCGGGCAATGGAGACAAGTAGGTCCAGCAGATAAACCCTAAACCCTAAGCCCTAAGCCCTAAAACCCTAAAACCCTAAACCCTAAACCCTAAGCCCTAAAACCCTAAAACCCTAAACCCTAAACCCTAAGCCCTAAAACCCTAAAACCCTAAACCCTAAACCCTAAAACCCTAAAACCCTAAACCCTAAGCCCTAAGCCCTGAAACCCTAAAACCCTGAAACCCTAAACCCAAAAGCAGTCTCGGAAACATGTATCTACTTTGGTGGGACCATCTTGGGCACTTGGAGTTTTATTGGCAGGGTTGATTGATGATATAAATCCTAGGGTTCCTGTAAAGGGATCTATAAGGGTACCTTTAAGGGATCTATAGGGTTTTAGGGTTTAGGGTGATGATATAAATCCTGCATAACCTTAAGGACCCTAAACTCTGGGAATTATGGTGTATTGCTTATTATGGGTGATGCAGGATTTTGTCCATCAGCAGTAGGGACAAACAGTGCAGTCGGACGGGTATTGAAAAGGCTTCTGACTTCCCAAACTCCCGGCCCGGGCAGGGCCACATACAAATACCCCAAACACCTGAAGGCTAGCCCCCAAAGCCCTGAAGCCCAGCAAAAACAAGCCTAAAAACCCTATCTATCCCTGTATTTAAACTCCTGCAGAACTCGTAAAGGACACCTTGCAAAGCTGCAAGGAATCATAAACACTTCAAAGGGACAGGTCTGGTGCCAGTTTCAGTAGCAAGGTGGCCGGCAGCGTCCTTGCAAGCACAACGGCTGAAGGGTCCTTTGAGGGTTCCTTTCAGGATCTCTAAGGGTTCTACAGGTTTCTTCAATAGTTTAGGATCGGATTCCTGTAATGGCTTTAACATTTGTAACTTTTTACGGCTTAGGTTTCTGTAGAAGCTACGGCTTGACACTTTCGGGTTTAGGGCTGGGTTGAAGGTTTCAGGGTGTGTGAAATTCATTAGAAGCTGTCCCCACCCTGTAATAGTGACTACAAGGACTATATTAGGGCCATCTTGTATTCGTATTATACCACTATTACAGGGTGGGGGCCCCTTCTAAGAAAATCAATACACAGGGCTGTGGGGTAAAGCTAGCACAGCCATACCAGGAAGCCTCGCAGCAAACTGCAACCCCAAATACCGTGCGGGCTTGGGGGCCCAGACCAATATCAGTTAACTAAGGGAAGCTATATACCTTAAACTACAGTCGGATTAAGGTGTATATGCCTTTAAGTAAGGGGTATTGGAAGGTGTGGGGATATTCGGTGGTTTCGTGTTGGCACAACCTTGGTTTCCCTCGTAGCTCTTCGACGCAGGGTTTGGGTTTAGGGGTTTTGAGTTTGCAGTAGAAGCCCCACAGTTGGAAACCCCCATAGCCTCAATCCTTAAGAATAGTGTATAGCGAATCCCAGCACTATTTGGCCTTAATCCGGTTTCCAACTTCTTGGGGTTTACAAAATCCCAAAGGGTCCCAAGTACCTATATAGTAGAATGTAGAGTTTCTAGGAGTTAATATTAATTATGATTTCCAACTTTATGGCGTCTACTGTAGGGGTTTGGGTACTGAAACCCACGGTCCAAAGATGTGCCCATGGCGGAAGGGCCAGATGGGAGAAATGTTGAACGAAACAGTACTAGGTTGGCCCTTGAAAGCCTCTGAAAAAATGCGTAAATAGGGTCCTATTAAGCCCAATAAGAGAAAATATAAAAATGTCCCAAAGGCCTACCTAGAGTAGGCCCGAAACATTAAACCCTTAACCCTAAACCCTAAACCTTAAAACCGCTGGCTCCTGGTATAAGGAACCAAACTCCGAATCTCTAAACCGCAAAGCATGGCCAAAAACACCAAACTTAAGGGCCATGATATCTGAAGTGTAGGCTTTCATTTAAGGGAGCACCTTGAGAATCAGTCAGCCCTTAAGCACTCTCCTCGTTGCACTTATCCCGACCCCAATCACGGCCGCCGAGGCAAACAGCCAGCCGGCGTCCATCGAAAAGCCTTCTTAAAGGTTCACGGAGTGAGCAAGAAGGGTTTCAAGTAAGGCAATTCTAAAAAGTAAGTGTGTGTGTGTGTGTGTGCGTGAATATATCTAAATTTGTACACACACACACACTTTAACCACGAATAACCTCAGTTAAGGTACTTCTAACTGCACTTACCAACTCCAGTGAGACTCCAAGTAGGTGATGCTCAGGACTGGGAAGAGACCCAGAGGACTCAATAACCTCTAATTCAGGATTATGGAATTGCACCATAAACTATGCAGGGCTTACTACTTTATTCTATGCCTTAAGGTGTAGGGTAAGGACAGGGTTTAGGGCTTGCGATTAGTTATGACTTCGGGCAGATTCCTGAGCTGCGGTGCATTGCGCCCGATAGGATTTTATGGTGGCTAGATTTCAAGTTCAGGGTTTGTGGATTTGACGTTTCACGGGTTGGGGTTTAGGGATGGATATAGCATTGGGGTTTGTGGTGTGTCTCATGGTTCGAATCGCTGCAGGGTGCTGCGGGAAAAGTACAAGCACGAAACATATGCTGGACGCTGGACCCTAGATATCGTCAAACCAGCTGGCGTGAAGGGCTATCTCAAGACATTGGAATTCGGTTTCGCCTTACCCTAAGGGTCTACGAATGGTCTAGGTAGCTTAAGAGTCTTTACTTTGGTCTCAGAGCAACCCCTGTATAGGTGTCAACTAATCTACTGCTTGGGCACGCGGGCCCTCGGGCGCAGGATTAGCTCATCGCATCTTGACGTCGGTTGCAAACGTCTGTTCAGGAATCAGAACCCAAACCCGAAACCTTAAAACCCCCAAGCCTACTAGACCCCGAACCGGCCCCTAATCCCCTTCAACCCTTGAACCCCTATACAAACAAATCCCAAACCCTTACAGCGTTAAACCTATAAGCGATTGTGTAAATCATAAACCCTTAAGCCCCTAAACCAGTATATGCTAAGCTTTCACACCATTAAACCCCTAAACCATTGACTATCATTAAATCCTAAACCCTTAACCCTTAAACCCTGAACCCTTTAAGTAATCATGGAACCCCTAACCCTTATAGTACCCTTAAGGAAGCCCTACAGTACCCCTTTACGGATCCCTTTAAGTAGACGCCTTAAACCCCTACACCCTGAACCATTAGATCCTAAACCCTTAAACCCCTAAAAACCCCAAGGCCTAAACCCTAAACTCTATACATCGGAGCCCCTATAGCTCCCCTTCAAAGGAACCCTTATCGATCCTTCTAAATGAGCCCTTATATAGACCCTCTTTAATGGAACCCTTAAACCCCTAAAACAAACCCTAAACCCTAAGCCCTATACCCTTAACCCTAAACCCTATACCCTAAACCCTAAACCCTATACCCTAAACCCTGGACACCCCTTTAAAGGAACCCTGAAACCCCTGGCTGAGCTCTGGTGTTCAACGTTCTAAGCCCTCAGTGTTTCGGATTTCGAGCCCCTGGGTTCCTTTATGGGTTTCTTTAACCCAGAGGGTCCCCAAATAGTAGGGTTTTAGGTCCCAAAATCCATACTCTGAACGGTTTTTGGACCTTAAAACCCTACTATTTGGGTACTTGGACCCTTAGGGTAATCTATACCGAGAGACTCCAATATCCCTTAATTAAGGAATGTACCTTAAATTACAGCAGGATCCCAAATACAATTTAAGGAAAAGTCCTTAAAGAAGGGATATTGGAGCCCCTGGGTATAAGGGTTCCTTTAAAAGGATCGATAAGAGTTCCTTTGACGGGGACCTATAGGGGCTCCTTGTACGGGAATCCATAAAGCGGATGTTTTGAAAGGGATCCAGGAAGGTTCCGTCAAAGAGGATCTAGGATCTCGTACCAGAGCCTCCAAAACCCCTTAATTAAGGAATATACCTTAAAATCATATTAGGGATCCTTATTATAATTTAAGGTATATTCCTTAATTAAGGGGTTTTGGAGGCTCTGGGTAAAGGTTCTCTAGGCTTCTTTAAGCGTTTAGGGCGCCTCCCTTACTTGGGTTTTATAAGGGCTTAGGGTTTAGGGGTTAGGGGTTTGGGTTTAGGGGTTGGGGTTTCGGGTAGGGCTGCTTATAACTTATAAGGGTTACTTCAATGGAATCTACAAGAGTTGTAAAATGAGAAGGATTTGGCACCTAGGATTTCAGGGTTTAGGGCGGGTTTGAGTTGACCTAGACCCCCAGCTACCCTATATTGTAGCCCAAAACTACCCCTTTATCAGGAATAAGAGATCCCTTTAGAAGGGTAGTTGGGTGGGTCCAGGTAGGGGTTTTTTTAGGGCGCACAGTTTCAGAAGTTCGGTCCTAAGGGTTGGGAGGGTTTACGGGTGTAAGGTCTAGGGTGTCTATAGGTGGAGAGGACCGCAGGGGCCATACCCAGAAACTCCAATAGCCCGTAATTAAGGAATATTCCTTAAATCATGTCAAGGATCCTACTCTCATGTAAGGCATGTTCCTTAATTAAGGGATAATGGAGTCTTTGGGTATGCAAACAGCTACATGTTGCGTATAAGATACGAACAAAACCATCCTTCGATGATATCTACGACCCGCTCTTGTTGGTATATGTGAAGCTTCTTCGAAGCAACGTAGCTCAGATGTAGTGATTGCTGCCACCCAGGCGCAAAGAATAGCCAGGCCCAGCGCGAAAAAAACCACGCCGAGCATCATGGCCTTCCCAGTCTCTATACCTGCGGGCACAGCTGGTGACAAATGTCTGGTAGAGTCTTAAGAGCAGTGTTCACGGAAGACTAAGCTCGTACACCTCGACAGCTATAACCCGAAAGCATCTCTAAAACACCCTCAAGAAATTTAAGAAATGGCCTGAAAGCTTCTCCAGATCCCTAAGCCCGAAACCCAACACTCTACAACCCGAAACTAGAAAACCCCCAAACACGAACACGGTTTCGGGTCCAGAGTTGAGTGTTATTTACAGTAGAACACCAAAAGTTGGAAACCTCATAGCCTAAATCCTTCAGAGTAATGGATAGGGAATCCCAGCACTAGTTGGCCTTCACCTGGTTTCCAACTTTATGGAGTTTACTGTAAGGGAAACCCGCTTGAACAAAAAAAGCCTGGGAAGCTTCTCCAGATCGCGGAGGCCAGCATGACGCAAAGGATGAGCCAGGTGTCGTAGCGGGCGGTCGAACTAAAGCCACCTTCCGGGTCTATATGATGAAGGGAACTTGAAACTGGTATTGGGTTTTTTTTGGTAGGGTTTTGTATTGGTCTACTATAGAGCGTGATAGAAGAAGTGAGCATAGGGATTCAGGGACTACTATCGTAGAACTACAGAGGCAAGATAAGCAAATCCTGTCATTATGTAAACCACTGTAGTATACCATCGCTGGGGTTTCTGGGCAATCCTCATACCTAGACCTTTAACTGAACCCAATGAGGGATCTCTGAAGCTTCAGCTACCGAGGAAAATTCCATGAGGGACACCATGAGCCCAGTTAGGAGCTTATTGTAGCCTGGTGTGTGGGGAGGTATGCTTTGACGTTTGTAGGGCTTTCATTAGGGTGCGAGGGATTCAGTTCTCGGGGATTGTCTTTGGAGCGTAAGATGCTTGAGCTCCGCCGATTCGTCATCTGGGTGCGCAGCGCGTACCTTTCCGGCGAGGGGTAAGGTGGCCACCCTCGCAGGTGACGAGGGTAACCCGGCCATGGGCGGGAAAGCCTGGTAGGCAGTGGTCTTGTAGGAGGCGGGGTGACGAACAAGCCAAGCACATTTCCCCTAAACCCCCAAGCCCCTAAACCCTAAACCCTGAACCCTAAACCACCACGACTTTCAGCATCTCGGCGGTCGCCTGATTCACCTCACCAAGGGCCAAGGATGTTGTTGAAGTCGATAATTACGCAATATTAATCCACTCACTCCCCCACGTGCTTGCGATTTTGGAGACTGCGAAGGGAACGTTACGGAGACATAAGCCAACCTATGCTTATCAAACCCCTGAGGCTTTAGCCCCTATTGTCCGCGAACAACTGAAGCTCAAAGCCTCACTTTGTATCTATGATCCCGGTTCTCGGTTCACCGACCCCCGCCCCCCAATGGTATCCCCCCACCCTCCACGCTCCCGAAGCCGAATCTGTGTGTGACACGAGGGCTCACACGCCAAGCAGACCCACGCAGGAAACCCAAACCATAACCACACCACAGGGGGGAGTGGGGTAACCAGCCTAAGCAGACCCCCACTCCCGAACCACACCACACCACACCACAGGGAGGGCGAAGCAACCCACAACCACACCACACCACAGGGGGGGAGGAGGAACCATTGGGGGGGGGAGGGGGGGGGGCCGGCCGAACCGGGATCATCTATATGGGAGTTTCCGAAAACAGGGGTACCTTATTTTGGGGTCCTTATAACAAGGATCCTTATATTTAGGGCACTACATTAGGGTCCCCTATTTTCGGAAACCCTAAACCCTAAACCCTAAACCCTAAACCTTAAACCCTCTACAGCGACCCATGAACTTCCAAACGGTCCATTCTGGAGATGCCCACAGAGATTAGGACTACCTCGCCAAAGACCTCCTAAACTCAAAGGGGAAAAGGAGGGACCCTTATTGGGGACCCCTGCCCTATACTGGGGCTATATAATGGGTATATAACAGTTATATTAAGGGTATATACCTAGGGGTCCTTATTAAGGGTCCCTCCTTTGACCCTTGGATAAACCTTAAACCCTGAGCACCTCCTCGCAAACCCCGGCCCCCAGCCCTGAACCTTCCACCCTGCCTCTCTCACCCCAGTTTTGCCGCCCGATCTAGTAAAACCTTACCAGCATCCCTTCAAGGAACCCTTCACCCCTAAACTATAAGCCTTAGAGCCGTTAAGAAACCCCAATCCCTTATCTTGAAACCTTCAAAGAACTCCAAAACTGTAAACCTTGAACCTTTCAAGCACTTCTTAAGGGACCCCTTGAACTTTTGGTTGATCCTGGTCAGCCTGGGAGGCGGCGTTTGATGATGCGAGGCCGCGCCACTGAGGTCCAGCCGGTCAGCACGAACTCCTCCAGGTTCAGCGTCTAGGGTTTAAGGTTTAGACTTTCAGGTTCAGGGCTTAGGGTAATCTTTGGTTTAGGGCGTAGGGTTTAGGATCAGCTATGGGTGTACCTCCAAATAATGAAACAGTGTTATATACCTACATCCAGCCATCCATGTATGCAAGCAGACATACATGTGTGTGTATATGTATATGTAGATCTAATATTGGCGGATGCACCATTATGGACTTGCCAGGCCCCAAACCCAAACCTGTTAACCCCGAAGCCCCAGACATGTTGAAGGCCCGGCCCCTTCAGAGTCTAGAATTCCCGAAGTCCTAAACTCTAAGCTGCCCTCAAACTTCGTAACACCCCCCCTCAAGCACCAAAACACCGTGAACTGATAGCTTTGACCCTACTACCCTACATCCCAAGCGCAAGAGCCCAGCACCACCAAGAACCGACAAATCTACGGAGGCACCACCCTTGAAATTCACAAAGTTTAGGGGCTTATATAGGGGTTTAGGGTTTTGGGCAAACAGCGCAGAGAAAACACAACGGATCAACTCGGGTAAAACGTCTTTACCAGGATCTACCTGTATCCCCAACCCTACAAAATAGTAGGTTATGACCCCTTACTTAGAGGGTCTAACCTCTAAAACGGTAGGTTTTTGGATCCCCTAAACCCTAAACCCTAAACCTTAAACCCTAAACCCTAAACCCTAAACCTTAAAACGGTAGGTTTTTGGATCCCCAAGTAAAGGTTTGGGGATTTAGGAGCCTCAAACCACCTTCGAGAACCTAACCCGCGCGAGAGAGATCCCGAGGCTCCAATATCCCTTGATTAAGGAATATGGGCTCCTTACAGGGTTCCTTACAAGGATCTATAGCGGTTCTATGAGGGAATCTAGGGATATACCTTAAATCATAGTAGGATCCCTAATATGATTTAAGGAATATTCCTTAAATAAGGGATGTTGGAGTCCCTAAACTCTAAACCCTAAAGAGCCCTTTGCGGAACCCTTATAGATCCTTAAAAGGAACCCTGGTAGATCCCTTATTGAAGGAATATTCCTGAATTACGGGATATAGGAGTCCCCTACACCCTAAACCCTATAGATCCCCTCTGGATCCCTTAAAAGAACCCTAGGCAGATCTCTTTAAAGGAACCCTAGGAGTTTCTGGGAAAGATCTCAAGGGCTCCTGAAGCGCGACGATGGCGAAGAGCCGCCAAGAGCCCGGCTGCCTCAACCTGATGTCGACCGGTACCAGAGACTCCAACATCCCTTAACTAAGGATCTGCCTTCAATTAATCATTTCATTTAAGAAGGAACTCTTGGACTCTCAAAATCCAACCTTTCCAAGGACTCACAAATGGAAATCATACTAAGGAGCCATATACAGGCAGGTTATTTGGGGTCAAGGTACAGTTTGAGTTGTAGAAGGATCCCTAACATGAGCCGAGGTATATTCCATAATTAAGGGATCTTGGAAGATGTGGGCCAGGGGCCTTGATATGGTGTTACAGTTATATTATGTGTTTTGGACGTTTAGTAGGTGTCTGTGTCATTCTCAAAAACGTGTCCAAATGTCAGTGCAGCGCTGAAAAATCAATTCCATGAACTACCTATATGTGGGGGTAAATCAAGCCTGAAACCACATAGAAACCAGAACCCAGCATCTACTCAATAGCGCTATGGCCTATGAAAGGAACCCCGAAGCTTTGTTTACACCCACGAAATTAAAGCCGATTGGTCGCTTTTGGGGCTTGGGGCGTGGGTGCCGTAGGATTTAGTGTAGTTTCTGAACTTGGGCGGCTGTCACAGCTCAATGGATGTTCTGCTAGCATACAAAATTCAGACACTGAGGCAATACTGGTGTAGCGAAACGACAACCTCTAAATTTACAGTCAAACCTGTGCAGCACTCTTAAGAAATACAACATGACTTTAATCAAATATGCCGACGTACACCTACACGTAGTATACTACACTGCGCTGCAATAAAACATATCAACAAATTAGGTAATATAGTAAAGATCAGAATAGTAGAACACAACAAGGTTAGATATCTGTAGCAGGTTGGAGTAAATGAAAACCAAGACAAGTTAAAGCAACCCAAGAGAGCACAGTATAGGACCGTAGACTACAGTTTACTCTAGCATAGTGCGGCAGAGTATAGTTTAGAATGATAAGAACCAATCCGAATTGGCTACGGTACAATCTGTTACTACTACTACTACCACTACTACCACTACCACTACTACTACTACTACTACTACTACTACTAGGGAGCGACCTGGTCGTTTGCCCACCCTTCTTTCCTCCTGTACCTCATTGCCCGCCCAAGTTCGTCTTCCTCGTGGCCATGGTGTCATGCATACATGTAACCGACGTACATACGTACATACATGCATTTGTACATGTATACCTACATACATGCATTCATGCATACGTGCATACATGCATTTCCGCATGTATAACGTCCAGATCAGACCCCATCCATGCCCGCAGAGCATCCATGTGCCAACCATGATAACGTCCAGATCAGACCATATCCATGCCCGCAGAGCATCCATGTGCCAAAAAATGATAACGTCCAGATCAGACCCATCCATGCCCGCAGAGCATCCATGTGCCAACCGTGATAACGTCCAGATCAGACCCCATCCATGCCCGCAGAGCATCCATGGTAGCAACCATGATAACGTTCAGATCAGACCCCATCCATGCCCGCAGAGCATCCATGTGCCAACCATGATAACGTCCAGATCAGACCCCATCCATGCCCGCAGAGCATCCATGTGCCAACCATGAAAACGTCCAGATCAGACCCCATTCATGCCTGCGGAGCATCGATGTGCCAACGCTTGTCAGCTGTGTTCCTGACTGAGAACGTCGGCCTCGAACCCGTCGTGCAGGCTTTCACTTCTTTCCGCGCGGCCTGTCAGGATCGCCTGCCGCCGAAAGACCAATGGTCCCAGACAATTTTTTTGACCGTGGGCTGAAGACACAGCTAAGCGTGTGTGTCAGCGGGCGTGAAAGCGAGCCAAGCACTAATCTTCCAATCTTGTTGCGACTAGTCCCAAAAACACGTAAAACGACAAAGTCCGCGACGAACTTGGAAGGCAGTGCAAAGCGCTTTCTTGAAGGAGAGTTACAGGGCTTCGACAACAGAAAACACTGCCCTGGCCGAGGTTTTCGTGTCCTCACTCTTAAGCCTGCCCTCAGCCTTCCATCTTTGGCAGCACACAAAGCCTGCTCCAAACTTTCCAATTCCGATGTCATTTGCGACACCTTTGCAGACGCCATATCTCTCGTAAATACCGACTAAAGTCAAGCAAACGCAAGAACAACGATGGGCAAACGATGTGCCTTGTGCCTACTACTACTGCTACTACTACTACTACTACTACTACTACTGCTACTGCTACTGCTACTGCTACTGCTACTGCTACTGCTACTGCTACTGCTACTACTACTACTACTACTACTACTACTACTACTACTACTACTACTAGTACTACTACTACTACTACTACTACTACTACTACTACTACTACTACTACTACTACTACTACTACTACTATTAGTATTACTACTAGTATTACTACTAGTATTTCTACTAGTATTACTACTAGTATTACTACTAGTATTACTACTAGTATTACTACTAGTATTACTACTAGTATCACTACTACTACTACTACTACTACTACTACTACTACTACTACTACTACTGCTCCTACTGCTAGTACTTCTACTAGTACTCTTAGTACTAGCAGGAGTATAAAATATTACCCGCAATGTTTTGGGCGGGGGGGGAAAGGTGGGTTTTGGTTTCAGTTCGAGTTTAGTACTAGTACTTTTGCTGCTACTGCTCCTGCTCCTGCTACTGCTACTGCTACTGCTGCTACTACTGCTACTACTTCTGCTACTTGTACTACTGCTACTTGTGTTATTAGCCATCATACTTCTGTGTTATATGTATGTATGTGTGTATGCATACATGTATGCATGTACGTATGTAGGCATCTATGTATGTATGTACGTATGTAGGCATCTATGTATGTATGTATGTATGTATGTATGTATGTATGTGTGTATGCATGTTGTTTCGTTTGATGAGGGCGGGTTGGTTGTACTGGCCTCGGTTTTAGAGATTTAGGGCTTTAAGGTTGCAGGAACCTGCCTATTGGACGAAGGTTCCAGAATGCTGTGATGCCTACACCCAAAGCTGCTAAACCAAACAAACAAATACTTCAACGCCATGACGCCATGTGGTCTTGAGTGCTGTTCCCTCGAAGCGAACCAGAATGCAACTGAAGCCAAAGTCACTAAAGCCCAGGCACCTTAAAAACTCGCAATGCGACGGACTGTAACCACTATAACTTACAACCACTCTGATTGCGTACTTACCCCTTGTCAGCTGCCGTCAGTCAAGTCAATCAAGACATGCCTTACGCACGCATCGGCGCAAACATCCTGCTGCTCCGGCTCGTGCAAATAGCTTGTAAACACAGCCTCAAGGCTCAATGGCAGGGCAAACTGTTACATCTTTCTTGAGACTTCGATTCTGTGCCACATGACTGCAAGATATAACACCAACAACGCGAAGAAGATCGAGTACACGACATCCGGGAGATATTCAGTCACGGAGACTTCACGCAACTGACGACGCACGGCACGACTGTCGCCACCGTGAAATACCGCACCCCAGGTCACGACAGATCCGTCGCCAAGAATGGCAGCAAAGGCTCTGTCAGCGGCCTGAATATGCTGCACATTCTTGAGCTGACCCTGCACCGCTCTGCTGTAGCCACCACATTCAGCACTACCCCATGTCACGACGGATCCATCGCCAAGGATGGCAGCAAATGCGCCAGTGGAGGATTGGATATGCTGCACGTTCTTAAGCTGATCCTGCACAGCACTACTGTCGCCACCGTAACCAGCATGGCCCCAGGTCACCACAGATCCATCATCCAGAATAGCAGCAAAGGCATACGAATTGGCTTGAAGTTGCCGCACATTCTTCAGATGATCCCGTACAGCACTGCTGTCACCACCAGAGTGAGCATCACCCCAGGTCACGACAGATCCATCCGCAAGAACAGCAGCAAAAGAATCCTGTAACTCGCTCTTGCGAGTCCTACGGGTATGAATTTGCAGCACGTTTTCCAACTGATGTTGAACAGCGGTACTGTCACCACCATTGTCAGGATCACCCCAGGTCACGACGTATCCGTCGCCCAGAATTGCGGCAAACGCTCCCTCAGAGGCTTGGATCTGCTTCACATTGTTCAGCTGACACTGCACAGCACTGCTGTCACCACCAAATCCAGCATGACCCCAGGTCACGACAGAGCCATCGCCGAGAATAGCAGCAAAGGCGCGGCCAGCATGGCCTTCGGCGGCTTGGACCTGCCGCACACTCTTCAGCTGATTCTGCACTGCACTACTGTCGCCACCACAGTCAGCATGGCCCCACGTCACGACAGAACCATCACCAAGAATGGCAGCAAAAGCGCGGTAAGTGGCCTGGATCTGCTGCACATTCTTCAGCTGAGCGTTCACAGCACTACTGTCACCACCACAGTCAGCATGGCCCCACGTCACGACAGAACCATCACCAAGAATGGCAGCAAAAGCGCGGTAAGTGGCCTGGATCTGCTGCACATTCTTCAGCTGAGCGTTCACAGCACTACTGTCACCACCACAGTCAGCATGGCCCCACGTCACGACAGAACCATCACCAAGAATGGCAGCAAAAGCGCGGTAAGTGGCCTGGATCTGCTGCACATTCTTCAGCTGAGTCTGCACAGCACTGCTGTCACCACCGTCGCGAGCATCACCCCAGGTCACGACGGAACCGTCACCAAGAATGGCAGCAAAAGCAATGCCATTGGTTTGGATGAGGTGCACATTCTTCAGCAGATCCTGCACAGAACTACTGTCACCACCAAGTTCACATGACCCCCATGTGGCGATGCACCCATCGCCCAGAATGGCAGCGAATGAAACGGCACCTCCACAAACTTGAGTGCGGCTACTGATCAGGGTCAGACGACAATCACCATCCCACAGCCTGGAGTCAATGGAGTCCCTGATCTTTGCAGATGCTTGAAGAACGCGTCCAGATGAGGCCAGCTGCCCTTGAGGGACTCCTAGCGCCGTCTGGGCTCGACGAAGCAATGCTGCCACACGTTCATCCAAGCTGATCTTTACACTGGTCGTCTTGCCACTGAGAAGTCCGACTTCCACGATGATCGACATGTGCCGCGCAAGAAATGGAAATGTGTGAGTGTCAGATATTACGAGACGAGGATGAGCTTTGGGGCTGGCATCTCTAAGTTGAATTTAGATTCCCTTATACCGTACGTAACCCCAAACCCTAAACCCCAAACCCCTAAAACCTATCGCTCTTGAGGTCTCCCTTCGAGTGCGTGGGGTTCGTTTTGTCAAAAGCCTGGGCCACAAGTGGCAAGATCCTCGGGGATAACAGCTTAAGGCGAAGCCCTACACCCGCTACAAAGCCGCTGCTTAGGAGTGCGGGGTTCTTGTCGCAAAAACGTAGCTTCCAACACATGGAGCCTTCCGTGGGCCGCGGAGAGAATTCGCCGCGCAAGACGAGAGTTTAGGGTTTCGGCCATAGATGGATCGTTTAGGGTTCAGGGCTTAGGGCGTAGAGTTTAGGGCTTAGGGGTCATGTAACAAGAGACTTCAAGTTGGTCTTACAGGGCTCTACATTCTCGTTCATGTTTTCCAAAACCTTATACTTGGCGAAACCCCAAGCCCCAGGCTTAAACCCCAAACCCGGGAACCCAAAACCCCATACCCTGCAAGCACTAAACCCCAATCTTAAACCTAGTACCCTAAACCCTATACCCTGCTAATTAACCATAAACGCCAAACTTCGACCCCAAAGCCGAGAAGTGAAGGGCTCTGCCTATCTCTGCCTGTCTAGTATGCAATGGACTGCCCACACTCGGGCAGGGTCATGTCTTCTTCAAACCCCAACCTCCCGCGCCCTGTGTCTAAAACAACCGGCGAGGAGCACAGCCCAATCTTCCACAACACCGGCGTGGGCCTGCTGGGCGGTTCACAGAGTTCCCACTAAACATTGAAGGCACTTAAGACTCCAAACCCTGCAACCCTAAAGTTCTAAAGTCCCGAATCCCTTCAATTAAAAGAACCCTGCAGCGACGTAACAGTTCCTAAACCCAGGCTCCTTGCACAAGCCTAGAGTCTAGTAAACTCGAGCAGATAAAGGAATATGGAAGGTTCTTTTTCATACTTATAATAATCATAGGGCTGAGGGTTTAGGGTTCAAGGTGCTTTGAATAGGGTCCCTAATTTCCGGTTTCCTTTAAAGGGCTCTACAAGCGCTACTACAAGGGGTCGTTAAAGCAGTAACACATGGAATGGCACTATAACTTTAACCTAACAACGAACACTGAGGAATGAGTAACATTACCACGGCTTCTACATTAGGGGCTTACAAGGAGGTTATAAGGGTTCCTTGCAAAGCTTGCTGCATACGTGGTTCTGTACTGTGGATAACATAACGGCGTGGGATTCATGGTTCAAGGGTTGAATCCATGGACCTTAACGTTGGGATCCATAAATACCTACTATATCTACATAGACTCTTCAGGGTCCCTAGAACTCCCTCATAAAGGCCTAAGGGTCCATATTAGGGGCCTATACTACTTCTAACCTCCAAAAAAAAAAGGATGTCCTTAAGGGGGGGTGGTCCAAGGGGGGTAGGTAACCTAGTAATCCCCATTATTCCCCAATACTCCCTAAGCTTCCCTAAGGTTCCCCAAAGCTCCCTAGTACCCTCCCCCCTTGAACCACCCCCCCTTAAGGATCCTATAATCTATCCTTAGAATGGTGGGCAGAGTTTCGTTCTCCAGCTTTTGTGCGTTTAGGCTAGTTGGGTCCCAGCCTTCAACCCTGGACCGGAAACCCTACCTGGATTTTATATAATTTTAAAGAACTTCTATAAATAAGGAAATTATAATATGGAACCCCCTAAGAAGGAAGTCTATAGTTAAGGAGATCATAAGAAGGAACACGAAAAAAGAAGGTTTTGTAGGCCCAGGTAAACCCCGAGGTTCAGCCTTCAAGATTCAAGTTCAAGTCTTCGATCGGGGGACATGTGCCGCCGATGGATGCCTTAGAACCATCTTAGATCTTATCTTTACTTACTTTCTCGATCTTGATTGCACCGTACGTATTGGGGATCCAACTTTAATTGAAGGTATCTTCCGTCATTAAGGGATAATGGAAGACCTGGGTGTTCAGGCGACATGTGACTTGTATCGGTATCTTGATTAGATTCCTGGGCCAAATTACTCCCAGCGAAGCAGGCCGCTATTGGTTTGATACAAGCATAGAGGGGCCGTGGCAAATCAATTAGGGCTTTGGAGTATCAAAAACACTGCAACTATGCTAACTAAGCAGCCCCGGTTAAGAATTGATCAGGGTTTGGTGATATGGTATAAGCAGGTTGAGTGGCGTTGTGTTATAATTAAGGAACCCGAAAGGATAGAATTGGTAACTCTTCAGCGTTTCTAGAGCTACCTGACCCCTGGTTTCGGGTTGGGTGAAGGTTCAGTTCAGGGGTAGTTTAGGGTTCGTTTGGAGTTCTTCCAGGGTTTAGGATTCGCTCAGGGTTCAGGGATCAGCGTCCATGTAGTTCCCAGTTCGTGCAGGACTTGGAAACCTCCACGGTAAACCATTGAAACCATTACCATTACCCCTACAGAAGGCTACGAGATAGCGGGAAAGAAATGAATTCTGAGAGGCTCCACCTCACGCTGTAGAGCCGGTGCAGTCTCGGGGAGCGCCCAGACGAAGAAGAAAAGCAGCACAAACAGCACAGAGACGCACCGCAAAGGGGCGATCCTGCAAGCAGGCTCTAATGCAACCCCAAATAACCTGCCTTTATACAGACACATGTAAAGAATTCCTGATACGGAACCTTAAGAGCAAGTAGGTTTTGTGGATCCAGGGGCCGCTTGCAGGAGTCTAGGATTCTCGGGCTCGAGGCTCTGGGGGCTCTGGGGCTGCTTTCTGGGGGCTTCTAAAAAGGAGCTTTTGGTAGTTTAAAACCCTAAACCCCTAAACTCTAAACCCTAAACCCTGAATCCTACACCCTAAACCCCAAGCCCTAAATCCTAAACCCTAAATCCTAATGGTGCGAGGGTTGGGTTTGGTACTCGAGGGGGCGAGGACACAGCTCGAAGAAGTATTCACCTGGATGCATGAAGTTTATATGTTAAATGGGAAAAGGAGGGACCCTTAATGGGGACCCCTGCCCTATACTGGGGCTATATAATGGGTATATAACAGTTATATTAAGGGTATATACCTAGGGGTCCTTATTAAGGGTCCCTCCTTTGACCCTTGGAATATGCACAGAGACACAGAGATCTCACCTTACCCAAGCCGTCATGTGCCTTGGGAGCCCTTGCCATATCCAAATCGAGCCTGTCCCAGTGCGTGATCTCGAACTGATCCACCAGAACCATTGAAATGCAAATGCCACGTGTCAAAAGGTAGGTTGTGTAGGGTCTCGCTCTTTCAGAGGTGTAACTGCTGAAGCCGGACGAGTACGTGTTAACATCCTAGGTTTCATAGTAGCCCTTTAATAATGTAAGGAGACTTCAAACAAGAAACGGCAAACAGGTACTACTGTTGAACCTAGCATCTTATGAGCAATCGTACTGGTACGTTTGCGCGCCGCTTGGAACCAAAGATAGCTCTGTATCGAAATCCAGCTCGCATATTCTCTGTTTCTTTCTGTATCTCTTGCTATCTACCTATCGAGCTACCCGTCTACATGTCTACCCGCCTAAGAAATGTAGGGATGTAAACACACAAACAGTAGCTTTCATACATGTAAAACCTCATGCACCCCAGTGGCTCTAAAGCACCACCTCCTAGAACCCATGAGAAGCCTTAGATACCCGATTCTATACATAAGCACAATGATTCTCCGCTAGGAGTTTGAATCTCTCTCTCTCTCTCTCTCTCTCTCTCTCTCTCTCTCTCGCTAGATGTATGTACACATGTTGACACATGCGTGCAGACATCTGTACATACATACGCACATACTATGCATCCTTACAGGTATATACATTCTACATGTGTAAAATGTGCATACATACACGTGTTCGTACGTCTGTATGTATATGTGACTTGTAGGCTACTATTCCTGAACCTCGCCATAGTGAAGCTGAAAATGAAGCCCAGGGTCACGCCGAGGGAGTCGGCCAGCCAGCCGCCGACAAGAGGGCCCGTAAGATAGCCAGAGCAAGAGAACAGAGTCCTCGCTTAGGGTTGAGGATTTTGAGGTCCTGTACTTTCTGGGCTTGTACCGTATCGCCCGTGCTATCGGATTGGTAATAAAATGCGTAAACCCTAGACCCTAAAACATCTATAAGGAACTCTATACCCAAAGGGTCCAAGTAACAGTATAGTATATATTTGTGGGGCCGAAACATCTACTAAGAGCCTACTATAATGCCACATGGACCCTTTGGGATGAAGGGTGTATAGACCCCTTTCAGGAACTTCATAAACCTTATACCCTAATACCCCGAAACACTCTAAGGTGTGGGGCGGATGTGGTAAAAGGCTTCTAAGATTCTAAGGATTAGGATTAAGGTGTGTAGGCAGCGGTTACCAGTACCTGCAACCCAAAACCCTACCACATAGTAAGCAGGTTATATATTATAATGGATAATCTATTCTAGGATTCTGGGCTGTTCCCCCCCTGCCGCGGTATGCTCCTGGATCCCCAGGCAGACCCTATATCACAGCCGTGACTCATCAATGGGTAGTATTCATGTGGTATTCCAAGTCGAGCCCCCAAATCCTAAACCCTAAAACCCGAAGCCTTAATCCCTAAATCCTAAGCCCTGAACCGCCTAAACCCAGATTTCTACCTTCTGGCGGACCCCCGGTTTGATGTATGAAACCTGTGCCTGCCCTGGAGGATCAAGGGACTTAGTAAGAAAGGTTTAGGGCTCTATAGGGATCTATAGTAGGGTTCCTTACCCTGGGGCTCAAAATAGCCCAACAGCCTTACATATTATGGTCTTTGTTCTCAAAAGCCTTAATATATGAGTCCTAGAGCCCGAAAATGTCATCCCGGACCCCCAACTACCCGCTATTCTGCCCCAAATACCCACTATTAAGGACCATAAGGGCTCCATGAAAGTGCCATTGGGTGTTCCTTAAGGGAAAAATCCTAAACACTATAGTAGACCCCACAAAGTTGGAAATCGGGTTAAGGCCAAATTGTGCCGAGATTCCCTATACATTACTCTTACGGATTGAGGCTATGGGGTTTCCAACTTTTGGGCTTCTACTGTAACCCCTATTCCCAAAGGCTCCATGTACCTTAATAGAATATACTTAGGCCTGAAAGGGGTCGTTATATGGGTACTTTGAGGCCTAGGTATATACTATATGGGCACATGGAGCCTTAGGGATTGTGAGGGATCTGTAGCGGTTTCCCGAAGATCCCCGTGCGCTAGCAAGGGTCGGGCACAAAGAACCCAGATCTCCAATATCCCTTAATTGCCCTAAGGGTCCAGGTCTTACCCTAGGCATCTAAGGACTCATATACTAAGGCTTTTGGGCCCAAAAACCATATTATGTAAGGCTTTTGGGCCATTTTGATGCCTAGGGTTAGGAGGGTCCGGAATGTAGTAGGGAGAGTCCTTGATTCCCTTTGGGGTGTCGGCAATCCTAGATTCTGAGGTTCCTCAAACTGTTAGGACCCTTAGGGTAAGGAATATACCTAGGGGTTCCTCAAAGGGGTCCTTCAAGGGATCCACAAGGGTTCGATAAACAAAATTAATGAATATATTATAATTTAAAATAAATTATAGTAGTGCCCCAAATACGACAAAACTTACTTTCAAACCCTACAGCCCCAAATCTTAACACCCCCAGCCTCTAAAGACCTAAACCCCAAACCCCTAAAGCCTAAACCATAAACCCTACACCCTCAACCTCGATTGCAGAAAGGCTCAGAAGCGCCATGCTGGACTGCCGAGACTCCTTCAGCCATGCTGGACTTTGAAAGTCAGGGTTTTTAGGGTTTAGGTGGTTTGGTTTTCTTTTAGGGTTTCGGGTTTAGGGATGATTTACGTATGGGTTTGGGGGGTTAGGGTTTAGGGTTTAATTGTGGTTTAATTACGGCTTAGGGTTTAGGGGTTAGGGGTGTAGGGATTTGAGGTTTAGGGTTTAGGCTTTCGGGCACGCCAGCATCCGCTCCGTTGATGCCTTCTTTGTCAGAGCCCAGAGTCGAAGTTGAAGTATACTTGGAGGTTCACGGGGACTTAGTAAGTGCTTTAGGGGCTTCTTAAAAGGCTCCTTAAGGGGATCTATTGGTTCCTTAAAGGGATCTATAGGGTTTAGGGTCTACTTGGAGGTTCACGGGGACTTAGTAAGTACGGTTATAAGTACCCTAATTGGTATTATAAGGAGATATAAGTGTAGCTACTTGAATTATAACCCTAGATTACTAAGTCCCATGAGCCTCTAAATACGCAAACTGCATAACCCCAAAGCTCTAAGGGCTTATATCCCTGACTGGCCCAAAGCCCAAGGAAATACAAGTTGAAACTTTCAGAATCGACTGTCTTATAAGAACCCCAAAAGTTGAAAAGTTGAGTTGACAGCCAATAAGTATCTTAAGGCTTCTGGGCCCCAAGACCATATTATAAAAGGCTTTTCCCGGGCTATTTTGAGCCTTAGGGTAAGGGTGCATGGGCCTTATAGGGTAAGAGCTTAGCATCTGGGTTTCCGATAGAAACAACTGGAAGCCAGTACTTAAGGGAGCAGATGACCATACTTATGAGCTTCCAAGGCGTCGCCAACGGGCCTCAACGGACGGTTTAGGGTTTAGGGTTCAGGGGTTTAGGGTTTAGGGGTTTAGGGGTTAGGGTTTAGGGGTATAAGCTTCATGCAGTGCTTGAGAGCTTGAAGGGAGAAAACTGAAGAGTTAGCCATAGAAGATTGAAATATCCGAGAAGCCGTAGCCGTAGCCAGGAAAGGAACATAGGTTTAGGAGTCTGAAGGACTTCTACGCGTGACGGTGTGGGATCAAGACTCCTAGGCGATCCTATACTCTTATTGAACCCTGCCAAAATCAGTGTCCAGGAAATACAGCCCTGAGGCTCACAACGTCCAGGTCATGCAAACCTGAATCCTAAAGTGTACTTCCTGAAGCCCAAACTACAATCCCTCGTCGTAATGCTCTACCTGTGGATATAAAAACCTACTGTTTTGGGGAGTTAGACCTTCCTTAATCGAAACCTGCCTGTTTGTGGGGTTTAAGGATACAGGTAAACCCTGAACCCCCTAAACCCTAGACCCTAGATTCCTAACACTTTAAAATCCTGTTTAGGGCTTCTATACGGGATCCTTTAAGGGTTTACAGCTTAGGGCTTCTATAGGGTCTAGAACAGCTCCTTTAAAAGGATCTATAAGGGACCCCCAAATGTCCTGGTCATACATGTCCCCGATCATGGCTCTCGCCATCGTCAGGGTCTGCTTTGTCAGCCCGGCGACCACGCGACCGGCGAGCACTAGGAGAGTCGCCTCTACAGTGGATCGGGTTTCGGGCCTTCAAGGGTTTAGGGGTTTAGGGTTTAGGGCCTTCAGGGGTTTAGGGATTTAGGGCTTAGGGGTTTAAGGTTTTAGGGGTTTAGGGGTTTAGGGTAAATTTAAGCACACGCCAATCACCATCCTTTGTTCGAGGGAGGCTGGGCGAGCAAATCTTCGAAAGTACGGGTCCTCAGATCTTCCAACATCCCTGAATTCAGCAACATACCCTACTTGGAGGTTCATGGGACTTAGTAAGTACAGATATAAGCACCCCAATTGGGATTATGAGTACATACAAGTATAGTTACCTGACACCTGAATTACAACCCTAGTTACTAAATCCCATGAACCTCTAAGTACCCTAGATCTATAAGGGTTTCGAAGGCGTCTATGAGCGTGGTACTCTAAATCAGGGTTGAGGGTTTCGGGCTAGCTTCGATCCCAATAGACCCTGAACCCTACCTAGAGTAACCTGGGTACTGTTTTTTTTGCACATGACTTGTTGTGTATATGATTTCGCACACGATCGTATGAAAACGCACATTCCAAGACACTATTGGTAAAAAAGATCCATGACTCATCTTGTCAGGCTCAATCCAGCATTTGTTCGGGGTTGAACTACTTCATTACAAAGATGAAATCTGATATTGGCGTGCATCTCGGTATCGAAGTTCCACACTGCTTCTGAAGCTGTCACGTTCCATTTCTAGGGGATCTGAGGGGAAGACTGGGTGTTATGCCGTCAAGGTTCAATCTACGAGTTCGATCTCCCACAACTTCAGCTCAACCTGTGCAGACCAAAGCCCACAACAATAAATATTATCAAACCAACTAGATAACCGAGAATCTTTCCCCCGCCCAAAACATGCCGATCCCTGGCTCTTCTTGCAGCCTGCCGAGTCCCAGCTGCATCTCGCCAGCAGAGGATGCATTCGGAAGATCTTTTGGAGCTTTGTTCTAGTATCCCCTATTGATCATTCTCGTTCATAACAAAATGCATGCGCACAAGGTAACGATCGATCGTCCTGGCATTTGTTACACCAGGGTGCACATGTCTCGAAATTTGGCTAATTTTGCCAATGAAATCCTCGTCCGCCTCACACGAGGCGACGCTCGGTGATAGAAGGTGCTCACGAGTGGGATCCCGTAGCTGTCGCTTAGCGTCGACATAGAAATGGTGCCAGTAGTGGAAAGATGGGACCAAGGAGTATCGGGCCCTTGCTTCTGTGTGGCACTGCATTGCCAATTGAGAATATGCTTCTGCAAACTGAAGCACTGCATCTTTCACTTGCTTCCCGTAGTCTCTCGTGAGCCAAAGGCCCCGGTTGTGTATGATCCGAAAAAACTGTGCAGCCGCTTTCGAGGCTGCAGAGATGTTCCTGAAAAACCCGGCATGGGAAACATGTAGTGGGTTGTCGATCATATTTCCACTGCTTCGAGCACCACCAAGACGAGGACCATGGAGCATCAAGAAGCCGAGCCACCTCGTCAACAGCATGACATCACTTCCCTTTGGTCGCATGTAAGGGAAGGCACTTGTACGTGGGTAGTGTAGGTTCGTGCGAGTGAAGTGTTTGAGATGAGGCACACCTCCACCTCTGAAGTCATGCCTGACGTAGTGGGCGAAATCCTCATATGCTCTCTCCATGACATCGTCGAAGTTGTTGTTGTCGGTGTTCCAATACCCAAGCTCGGCAATCAAGACAATGGAGGAGGCACAGTAGTAGCCCCCCAAGGCTTGTTTGTAGACATGGAAGGGATCTCGTAGATACAAGGCTTCTGGCGCATTGGGATCCCCGGGAACAAGTGAAAGCGGGCTTGGCGTGGTCCAAGGTCTTTGGGTGAAGATTGTCGCTTCGTAGGTCGGGTCGGGTCGACAATCCTCGAAGGGGATATTGGGTGCTCCAGCTAGGCATTCAGGACAAAGGGGCTTTCCGAGGTTTTGGAAATTCCTGCTCAGGTTGCCGGCCTTAGCGATCGCTGGTGCATCTCCTTTGACAGCCACTAGACATGCAAAGTAGCGGCTGCCATCTTGCAATGTAAACCCATCCTCCAACAGCGAGGTGGCTTCCTCGCGGATCTTATCCAGCATGGCGTCGTACACGTTTTTGTTCCGCTTAGTGTAGGAAGCTTTTGGCAAGATCGTGTACAGCATGCGTGTCTTGTAGGTGGATCCTCGAGCATTATGAAACTGGTTTCGCAGCATGATATCCATAATCTCAGCATGACTAAGCCCATCCGCCCATCGAAAGTTCAGCTCTTGCTCGAAGTTGGGTCTCGTCTCAGCACCGAAAAGGGTCTGTGCATGGACCACCAGCACAGCAGACTTCCTCAGCCCCCGACCCTCGTCTAGGTGAAGTGCGAAAGGGATAACTTTGTCTAGCCTTCCTCTATGCAGTTCGTACACAGCGTGGCCCGGTCGTTCTTTTTCAAAAGCTTCCCAAAAGCCTCGCAAGCAAACCTTGGCGAACTGGTCATCAGGAGCAAACCCTCCCAAAAGTAGACCTCCTTGACGAACATTCATCAAATAACGGAGCCAGGTTGTCAGCTTGATGTAATGAACCGTAACAACATTGGCAACGAAGGTGTTCACAGCCAGGGGAAGCACCAGATCTACATCTCTTAGCACTCTCAATAAGTCTCGCTCCGAGGTATTCATGTTTGGGCTGGCCGCGAAGCGCTTCAGCGGCTCTGGATGGAGGTGCTCTGGTAGATCATCAAGGCAAGCTGTAGCTTGCCGCCGCAACTCGGTGGCTGGGGCCTGGGAGGGATCCGGAACACTGTTATAGGCTAGCATTGTGGGATATAGTATCTACTTAGCGCAGGAAAGGTGATTTGGAGAAGCACCCCAACTGTCTTTTATATACATAGTGGCATAGAGGAGTTCTCAAGTCTCGGGAAAGGGTTTAAGTTTCACAAACGAGGATCATTGATTTCATTTGTTCAAAGGGGACAAGGAGGGACCCTTAATGGGGACCCCTACCCTATAATGGGCGATAGAATGGGTATATAATAGCTATATTAAGGGTATATTACCTAGGGGTCCTTCTTAAGGGTCCCTCCTTTTCCCCTTTGATTTGTGTTTTAAGCATTTCACTGAGTGCTTCGTGGATGTGGGTCGATGATCGGTCTCTGCGTTACAACATGTTCATCCTGGAATACATGGGAGGCTTCTCCTCACTTTGACATTTGGTCTCGGGGATAGTCTGGAACACTTTCTGACAGTTGAAAGTTTGTTTATCGAGGGACTACTCTTCGAAGCCGGGGATATCCATGGCTAACGGACTAGGCTATTTAATCTCCTAGTTCGTCTGAGGACAAAACAAACATATTATTCTAATATCCCAAAATTTCGAAGGCTATCTATATATATACTTGGTCAAACATAAAGGACCCCGGGATTGCTGGACCTCGCTGGTTGTACACTCGGCACGTTAAAGTTTTGCATATCGAACATTGATACATAGAGGATTGCAGAGTCCAGGTTGGGCTGATGGTCCCCTAGATTAGCAAACAGATTCTTGTAAGCACCACGCTCCACTGGCGAGTGCTTTCGCCATGCTCTTCAGCACGGCACCCACTCGAGGGCGGTTGTTTTCACCTGGCACAAAGCACCAGCACGATAGCAGGGGCCCCGAAGCAGTGCACGAACAGAGTCTGCAAGAGTGGCATGTGGGCCCTTGTTTTCATCTTAGCCCCGCTCGACATGCAGCAGCGCTGAACGTGAAAGTGCAGATATCATGCTTCAGAAGCTGACGAAGACTCACTGACGGTTTGCACGAAAACCAAGGCATGTCGCATCCAGAGCAATCACGGCAATTACTTCAAGTATGACTAAACTCGTCTTTCCAGCCCCAGTACAACATCAGAGCTATGGATACAGGCTACAAAACCCTTAGGGATGGACAGCTGAAGCGATCGAACTGGGCATTTGCTTACCTCCTGCGCCTTGAGCTGCCCTTAACAGACTCCTTGGCAGGTGACTCGCCTTTGCCAGCCTGCTGTGGCGAGGAGCCTTTGGCACCCTTGCCCTTACCCCGACCCTTGGTTTTGGGCTGTGCTTGTGCTTTTGGCACAGGCACCGAGCGGCAACGCACTTCCAGGGTCACGGTCTCCTGGGTCCTTAGTGTTTTGGAAAATACAAAGGCAGAGCACATTTCGGAGAATACATGCAATTTCAATATTTTACGAGTCCTACACTTATTCTCAGCGAAGCTCACATTGGCAGCATCCTTGTAGGCTGCACGAAGCTGCTCCTCATGCCTGAGATACAGGCACAAAAACGACGGCACAAGTACAAATAACTAGGAGCCCCACACGACATTTGCAACATTGTCAAGCCACGTAGGTTCGTAGCCCTCCACAGCACCACTGGAGAAAATTGAACGGATATCGTCCAGGGCTTTCTCCACTCTCGTCATCAACGTGTCACACTTCGTCACGATCCTGAGAACTCGAACAAGCAAACGAAGTCCGAAACATAACCACGTGCATTGACCGTGTTGAGCTGAGTCGCTGCGTGTGGCAGCTGGTCAGCAGCTTCGGATCGATGTTGGAGTACTTGTCCTTGATTTCCTGGGTTTTACAAGATGCCTACTGTTGGGGGCGAGGTTCTTAACATGTACTGATTGGAACGATCTGAAATAACTAAGCTTCGGCGATTTTGTTCATCCTCTTAGCAAGAGCATCCATGTACTTTGTAATCACGCTCGAGGGCTGGGCATCTTTCATGACCGCGGGCAGGAGTGGCACCTGCTGCTTGCCCGGAGCCGGCGTCGGTGGATTGGTGCCGCTGCTGGTGCCACTCAATTCCATTCCTGTGGACTTGGTTGGCAACAGGAGGATTAGCTACTTTAAAGCGGGGTTATAGTAGTTTCTGGCGATGCAAAATCCTAGATGGTGTGCCTCGTGCGGCTTGGTTGAGGTCGGCTTCGATAGGCGGGGCATCCAGGAAGGAGGCAGCATCAGTCGTAGTTTCATACTCACCTTCTTCG